TTTAGAATTCTAGACTGTGTATGTAGACTACAGTAATATGAACTTCTTAGTGCCAGAAATAGAAGTACAGAAGAACCAGTCATCCCTCTCTGCCTTTTTTTTACAAGTACCCAAAAAGCTCCGACATATTTTCCAGTATGATAAGAATACTGCAGACGAAGATTTTAGCACATTACGTGTAAAGAAAAGAAAATAGTAAGTCTGTTTATTGTTGCTTAGAGTAATTTATATTTGATAGGAATCACAGAATCTTAGAACTAGAAAGGGATGTAAAAACTGTCAGGTTCAACCAGCACTCTCATTGTACAAATGAGAGAACAGGACAGTCAGGCAAAGTACCCCAGGTCAATAACAAGATAACAGATTTTTTAAAATTCTGTTCACTTTCCCTTATATGTTCATTAGTATTCTAATGAACATTCTTGTGGTGTAGCTAATTATTCCTTGGATATCAGAGATCAACATTTATAGAATAAAATAAGTAAAGTTAATATTTACTTATAATAACAAATAGTGAACAGCAAAAAAAATATGTCTGCCCTCAATTTTTACATTATGGATTAGTTTATTAAGGACATAAACACCATTGTTTTACTAAAGCAAAAGTCTTTTTAATAGGATTTTTGATATGCTAAATCCCTAACATGGTATTTAATTCTGAAATACAGGATTTTTCTTGCACTATAGCTCAGTGTATAATAAAATCTAGAACTGATATAGCTCATTTTGTATAAGGATTTTTTAATATATCAGTGTATGAATATATGAATAGTAATCTCTTCTAGAACTGATACCATCCAGTTAAGATTCAACACTCACAGAAAATACTCCATGGTGGTCATCTCCGTACCTACATAATTATACATTCCATCAGTTAAAAAAAATTCCACATACTTCAGTTATGTTTATTTATAAGTTATATGTATAAACTACCGTGCTAATAGGTTGTATACATTAAAAGTTTACACAAAACATACATTTTTAAAAGGATATCTAAAATAAGTATGTATTTTTTTCTTTCTGTACCCAGTAATGGATCATATTGTACACATCTTTCCTTTGGAAATCACAGTGTGTGGGGGTATTAGTAATGATCATCATTTACCTAACATAATGGCATTCTCACCTGTTGTTATATAAAATGAATGAATCCTGATATCCGTATTCTAACATGCTATTAGTTAATATAGTAGAATGTACTAAAAGTACTTTTATGAAGGTCTTTGGAATGACAACTTTAAGAAGCTCTATAAAAATGTAGTAACAAGTTAACCAACATTTATTGAGCATATGCAAATGAGACACAATATCCATCTACCAGGAAGGAGCTTATATTATATTTGGAAGGCGTTTTATTTAGATGTGTATATAAAAGTACTATATGTACCTGTAAAGATAATTGATAATTCAAGAGGGAATATAAGGAATGTTGTATATACTTTATGTCACAGAGAAAAGAAACATTCGTGAAAAGAAGCAATAGCTTTAAGCCTGAGGAAGTCGGCAAGGGCTTTAAGGAGGAGTTGCTATTTCATTTTTTTTATTTTTATTTTTATTTTGGTCTGAGCCTTATAATTTGATAGGCAGAAAGCATGGAAAACATTTCAAAGACAATGAGTTGATTCATTTTATTGAAACAGATGGTTTTTATGAAGGAAATTAATAGAAGGAAAGCTAAAGAATAGGATTGTTTTGAGGAGGACATTGTTCTTACCCAGGCTAAGCAAAATGCACATTTTTGGTGTGTCATATGGAACTGCTGAGCAGAGGTGTGATGGGATCAAAGTGGTAGTTTCAGAAGATAGGTCTGTTGGCAATATAGAATATATTTTGGTGGAGAGAGAAGATGAAGTTAGACTAATTGACAAGCTATTATACCATTCCTGGTAAGAGTTAACATTTTGACTGCCAGGCTGTGTTGTAAGTACTCCTCAAAGGTTAAATTCTATGAGGTAAGTACAATCATTACCCCCTCTTTTATAGATGAGGAAACTGAGGTACCGAGCAGTTTCCCCCGACTGCCACCCCCCCAACTCTGAGGTTACACGGTTAATCCAGAAGTCTCTATCCTCTAGTTGCTGCCATAGATAATTTGGAGCTAAGTTAGAGTTCTGGCTCTGAATAGAAATGAGGGAAAAGCAGCAGGGGTAGAACTGAGCTGACTGGGTGTTTGGGGCAGGAGGGAAGTGTAAGAGATGAGCCAAGCAAATTCAGAAGTAGGGAGTGATGTAAATCAAAACAGAGAAAGCAAAATCAAATGCCCCACCAGTCTTACTAACGGAAATTTATCCTAAAGATACAAGAACAGAGAAAGAAAAAGAACAAAGTTATTTTTAAAGCTGCAATTGTATTGATTACCATGTTTAACAAGAAGGGCAAACAAGAAAGACTTGAAGGCTAAAGTTAGTTCACTAACTTTTGTTTATTTCCTCTTTTTGTTTTTAATGTTTGTTTATTTTTGAGAGAGAGTGTGAGCAGGGAAGGGGCAGAGAGAGAGAGCAGGGGACAGAGGATCCAAAGCAGCCTCTGTGCTGTGACCAGAGAGCCAGATGAGGGACTTGAAACCTGAGCCAAAGTCAGACACTTAACAGACTAAGCCACCCAGGCGCCCCTGTTTAATTTCTGTTGGATATTTAGTGAAAGTTTCTTAAAAGCTTGTTAGTATTTTCTAGATTTTCTTCAGTAAATATGTATTACTTCTGTAATAATTCACTTATTTCTAAAGGGAAAATGCTAGCTTGGGGAAAAGATTATTTTAAGCTTTAGTCATTCATTCATTCATTCATTCTTCACATTTCTATCATAGCACTTAAAATATGCTGAACACAGTGTGCCAAGATTTGATCCTGCCTAGATGTTTGATTTCTTACTGTTGAATACGGAGAGTTCTTTTTTTTTTTATGTTTATTTTTGAGAGAGAGAGAGAGAGAGAGAGAGAGAGCATGAGTGGGGGAGGACCAGAGAGAGAACGGGAGAAAGAGTCTAAAGCAGGCTCCAGGTTCTTAGCTGTCAGCACAGAGCCCAATGTGGGGCTCGAACTCACGAACCAAACCATGAAATCATGACCTGAGCCAAAGTCAGACGCTTAACCTACTGAGCCAGCCAGGCACCCCCTAACTAGATGTTTGAGATAGAAAAATGAAAAGACAGTTCACTTTCTTCCAGAAGCATTCAGTCTACCAGGAGACCCACATGCAAACAACCCTAGTGTAATGTGATACAGAAAACATGTTCAAGGCAGAGTCAGCAGTTTGGGGAAAGAGCCATCTAGATATGTTTGTTTGAATCTGGGAATGTGTAACATTTAAGCTATTATTTTACTTGAGCCTTGAAATCTGCCAGGTCAGCAGAGAAACTAGAAGAAGGCATTTCAGGAGGGGAAGCGGCGTGTGTGAGGTGTCGGTAGAACACCCAAATGCAAACACTGAGCATTGATGAGAATTCGGAGGGATCGCTCCAGGCGGGAATCCTCTGAGCCAGTGGTGATACTGGTGGCCTTGGCAATGTGGGAAGCCTGCAAAATAGAGCATCTTGAGGAAAACTTTTTTAAACAATAGAGAAAGAAGGAGACGCAAATGAAGGACTTTGAGAAGTAGAAAGAGTGAGAATATTCTGAGGTGGAGCCCAGGAAAGCGAGATGTGAGTGGTCTGTGGTGTCCACTGCTGCAGAGAGAGACTTTATGACAGGCATTTCCGGTTCTCTGTTTTGTTCTTTAACATTACTCCATAGTCTGTGCAGTTTTATGTACTGCCTTTTCAATAAGTGAGTGAACTATGATTTATTTACTTTTTTTTTTTTTTACTTTGGGGCATTTGGATTTTTCTTTCCACTCTAAGGAAACAAATCAACTTGGAAGAGAATGCCTTATGAGAAAATGGTTGCAGGGGTAAAATAATGTAAAATATCCAGAAAATTAGCAGTGAGCTTACTAAACTGAAACAAAGATGAATTACTGACCTTTGTATTCTGGCCATTAGATCAGTGACCAGTACTGAAGGGAAGGAGGAAGAAAGGGAGGAGGGGGAATGGAAGAAGGAATAAAATTAAGAAATAGAGGTAGGGATAGTAGGATCAATTTTATGGTTGTGTTTTGTTTTGTTTTACCATAGTGAAAACTATGTGGGTATAAGATAACAATTGTAGTTTGTTTAGCCTTGGAAAATAGAAAGGATACCTTTTCCTCTTAAGACTGAGGGCAAGAAGGCATGGGTGCTGTGTAGGTGTTTTCCAAATAGGAAAGAACAAGGAGCCTAGGACCTGAGTAGACCTCATCTCCGTGCAGGAGTAGATGATGCATTTTCTAAGAGCGGAGGTAAGGAGAAGGTGTAATTATAGGCTTCAGGAGAGTGAAAGGAAATTTTTAAATGTTCCTTTTGGAGAGGAGGAGAGTGGGAGAGCAGCAAGAAGTAAACAGAAGGATTGCTCAGCAGCACGATGACCTTAGCTGGAGGCTGAGAGGGTGGTTGTAGAGGTTAGAAGTGGATTCTGGGGGCGCCTGGGTGGCTTAGTCGGTTAAGCGTCCGACTTTCGCTTGGGTCATGATCTCGCGGTTCGTGGGTTCGAGCCCCGCGTCGGGCTCTGTGCTGACTGCCAGCTCAGAGCCTGGAGCCTGTTTCAGTCTGTGACTCCCTCTCTCTCTGACCCTCCCCTGCTCACGCTGTCTCTCTCTCTCTCTCTCTCTCAAATAAATAAAAAACATTAAAAAAAAAATTAAAAAAAAAAAAAAGAAGTAGATTCTGGACTCATTCCTGTCTCGTTGCTGGTAACTTAGACTGTGAGAAATTGGATGGAAGACAGTAGTTTTCTCACAGAATACTGTTTTTAGAAACTCTTAGACCTGAGAGATGTATTCAGTCAGTTCTCCATTAATAGAAAACAAATGTTCATGTATAATTACATCACCAAAATGAAGAGTAAGCACTTATTGTGTGCATTGTTTCCTAAACCGTAACACATATGAACCTCATGCTTCCATTTTTAATAAAAAGAGGTAACTCACCTTCATTGATGAAAGTTACTGGTGGTATCTTGAAAGGACTTTTGGTGGGAGAAGTCCCCAGATCAGGTGGTGGCATTAAATCCCGGGGGTAACTTGGGTCCCTCTGAATCTCATTCCCGCCCAGCAGTCCAGGGGTGTACTGATGGCTGGTAGGGATGTGCTGCGGCACTACCTGGACGAGAGGAGGAGACATGTGGGGGTCTTGTCGGGAAAATACCTTCAAGCACTGCTCTTCCAGCAGAGTGATCATCACAGACTGGTTATTGACGAGATCAGTCAGGGACGCATATTTCACCTCCAGTTCCCTGTACCTTGTCGCCATCTTCAGCATTTCTGTCGTGACATTGAGGATTTTATTTTCCAACTGGGAAAGTTCAAGTGAATTATCCCTCTTACGGATAATCTCATGTAATAGTTGCATATAGAGTTGAGTGACACGCGAGTTCATGTTCCGGCTTTCTTTTCGCAGCAGCTTTACCTCATTTACAATGTTTCCATCTACATCCACCACCAGCTGGAGGACATCTATCTCCCGCTTCTGCCTGGAGAGCACGTCCTTCAGGTTTTCAAGGTCCATCCTGGTGATCATGTCTTTAATAGTACTTGCATCTTGTCCTTTGGTATTAACACAAATTGGCCCTGTAATTTTTTGTTCAGGCACCAGGAATGTGTATGAACATTTCTTTGTTTCCTCTTTACCGTCTGTGGCACGAGGGTATCTCCTCTGGGTTAGTTTTTTTATTTTGAACTGTCCTCCTCTGCAGTGTCCAGTGCCCATTAGTAGGAAGAATAGCACACTTAGGGTCCAAATAAAAGCCTTCATTTTGAAATGAGGTTGTATGAAGTCTTTTAAAAGAACAAACCAATGAAGGGGAAAAAAGTAAAAAGAATTAATATTAACCTACTTTTAAAGTCTGTAATGTAAAAAAAAAATGTAAGGAAAAAACTGAGTATCTATTGGTTTTAACTAAATTGGACCAGAATTAATGTTATTAATTTATTAAATTCAACACCACAGTGCCTTTGCATTTGTTTAAAATCTAGGTTTCAGAGAATAGCTCGCCAGCTATCACCTCTCCAACTGTCCCCTCATTGCAGAGATTTTGGTGAGTGCCCGCTGTCTGCATGGCATACTGTTCGTGTTCTTGGGTGCTTTGAGACCCTAATAAGACACTTTTTCTTACTCTTGAAAAACTTACTTTACTGTCTTAAGACTCTGAAAATGATATGTAATGTGTATAAGGCATTAATTAAAACATTCTTTCCTAACTAGTACTAAAGCCAATAGCAAGTGACTTTACTAGTCATTATTTTATATCTGTTTTATGCAGTTTTAGTTAAATTGGCCCTCTCTAATAAATATCTTTTTTATCTATCAAATTGAAGAAACACTTTTAGACAAATCTCAAATCAGAAAGTTTTGGCATCATATTTTTTGTTTTTGTAGCATGTCCTTTTAGGATTCCAGACAAGTTTAAGAATGAGGGAGTGTTTACAGTCATTATTGTGGGTGATTATATTTTCTAAACCATAGCCGTATATATCCTCTAAGCTTACGTTGATTTTTTAGCAGGTTCATTCTTCTTACAGATGCTCTACTGAACTGTATATTAGTAAAATTTCAATAATTTTTTGTAACCATTACCAAGGAAAGAAACTCTCTATACTTGAATATGATTGTTAGAGTTGGAAAGTGCCATAGAGATCATCTCATTCAAGAACCTCTTTACACCTGGGGCGCCTGGGTGGCTCAGTCTGTTAAGCATCCGACTTAGGCTCAGGTCATAATCTCACAGTCCATGAGCTTGAGCCCTGCATCAGGCTCTGTGCTGACAGCTCAGAGCCCGGAGCCTGCTTCAGATTCTGTGTCTCCCTCTCTCTCTGCCCCTCCCCCACTCAATGTCTCTCTCTCAAAAATAAATACACATTAAAAAAAAGAAGAAGAAGAACCTCTTTGCACCCACATGCATGTTGAAGGCCAAGACCACACAAATAGGTAGTATTAGAACCCAGTCAAGAATTCAGGTTCTCCAACTTCTCAGTCAGTGTTTATAGCAGTGGCACGAATTGCTGACCTGTGTGCCTGAAATGTTTCATTTTTTGCTGTGACAGAGAAATTCTTGTCCCTTATAATACAATTTTCATAGAAAAACTAGAGGAAACATTAGAACTAGCTCTATGAACCAAAGCTGCTTCCTTTCTCATGAGTTACCTCCCTAAGTAGTAGTAGCAGCAGAGGGGTGAGATGTGCCCCTCCGTTGGGCACATAAGCAGGCTGCTGTGGCATGTGGCGCCCCCCCCCCCCCCCATAAACTTGATTCCTGGTTGCTTTTTTTGAAGGATGTCAGTGGATACACTAAAAACTCTTCTCTCCCACTTTCCACCCAAGGTCTTGTTTTTTGACTTGAGAAGTCAGGTCCCAAGTTGTTTATGCCTACGATTAATAACAGCAATGCAGTAATAACAGTCGCTCATACTTACTGGGTGCTCGGCATTGTGGTAAGCCCCCTTACGTGCATTAAGTCAATTACTTTGTAACTACAACCCTCTGAGGTAGATTGTTACAGTGTTACAGTCCTCATTCTCAGTGAATGACTGGCATCTGGAATTTAGGTCTTACCCAGAGTCATACAGCTTCTAAGAGATGGCACCAGAATCTGAACCTAGGCAGAAGACTCCAGAGTTCATGTTTTTCATTAACCACTATGGCACATGGCAACATATTCTATCCTATTTTCTATTCCCAATACCATAACAGTCCCTCACATTTATGTAGCACTTAATACACGTTAACTATTTGCATTCACAACAACACTGAAATAAATGTATACCATTTTACAAAGAAATAAAAGTCCCAGAGAAGCCAAAATTAGCATTCAAATGGGGAGTCTGATGTTCAACTCCTAACTTTTCTAGGCCTGTATTTTTTTTATCCTAGTCATGGTATAACTACAGAGGAGCCTTAACTTGTGTTTCTTGTTTTTTAGTCTTTTCCTTGGTATGTATTTCTTTACATTGACCCAGCTCTTATTTATGAGAAGGTATTTGTGAATCATTTTTGTTAGGCTCTGTTTCCATCATTTTTCTATCCCAAACTTTTCTGCTATCATTCCTTTTCCTCCCTATGTATTATATCAGTTGATAGTTACATATCTAACTTGTGAGTATGAACCCTCTCAAAAAATAAGGGTTATTATTGCAACCAATGAAATACTGACTCTTTAACTTGGGGTTATGAAGATGACCGCTACTTTTTAAAACCATGTCTCCTTTGGTGTTTTCCAAGTGGAGTGAGAATGAAAATAAACAATGGATGGAGTGTGGAGTATTTTTCTCTTAACTAACATAATCAAGATAGGAGGAATGAGCATAATAGCATTGCATATTTATAACAGAGGCCTTCTCCTGCTAACTGATCATCAAAAGCACACTTGGATGAGCACTTTGTTTTTTGTTTTTGTATTTTGTCTCTGGCATGAGTAGAAAATTTAGACCTTAAACATCATCTATTTTATAAGAAAAAGATTTCTTGCTATATTTGCAGTTTCATGGAATTTAGATGTGGTTTATTTTAAAAACTGAGGACAGTAAAGGAGAAGCCGTCAGCCTTCTGGTTAAAATGTACAGTATTTCTCCTACGTGGTTAACTTAGCTAGTCCTCAACTTCACTCATTTCACTTTAATGATAGAGTGGAAACCCTTAGATCATAAAATAATTTTATTTAAATGATCTATGACATAAGCTACCAAAGCAAGGGAAATTCAGAAGCTATCATGAAACTTCAAAACAAGTAGGATTTCATAAACAGTATTCTGATTTGAACAGTTTATATTTCCTACCAGACACAGATTTGTACAGGACAACTAAGAACATATAATCCAAGATTGTTATTGTGACTTTACATCAGTGTTGTCATGGAAGAACAAAAATATGAAACGTTAAAATAGCAGTATGTTCTGCCTTAGCTTTTTGTGGGCTCCTATACCGTTAAGTCATAAGATAAATCATTGTGTACCATAAGAGAATCTGACCTAAGCAAGTATTGAAAGGAGGCAACTAAAAGGTTTCTTTTAAGCAAATGTGATTCCCTTACCCTTATTATAAAAGTAATGGCTTTGTTGTCACATAAAGAAGAATAAGGAGCCCCATTTCTTAAGTTGTAGACAAGCTACATCATGAATAAAGAACTGGTTTTAAAAATAAATTTACTATTACATTTTCTGAATACATTCTCTTATTTAATATTTTCCCACCACATTCAATTTTAAAAGTGAAAGATCTATAAATCTGTGTTACCTCATAAAACCTTTCTGTATATGTTAAAATTTTCCTAGGTCCCAAGAGAATGTTATAAATTAGTTACAGTATACTTAAGTTTAAATCTGTGCCTTTGCTTGGTTGTTTTTAGGAAAAAAAGTCTTCCATGCTTTGGGTTAATTTTATTGGTACTGTTTCTCTTCATAGTTGCTACATTTGCCAGCTAGTAGAGAGAAGAAATAAAAAGTCAGGATTTGCTTTCTTTCAGATGGTAAATGCATAGAGGCATTTAACTGCCTATGTCATGCACTGAAAATAGCATGAGGCAGTAAACCTATATTTATGAAGCATTGAAGATACCTTAGATACTTCTAGATTGTGAATTATGTTCTGGGAAAAGACTTGAGAACAGTCTCATCCTCTGGAGGTATCTAAGAAAGGGATAGTTATCTGTGTGCTTGAGGTTTCAGATTAAATGCTTGCCTGAGAACTCATTAAGAAATGAGGCTGAATGAGGTCCTGCACTTTTCATAGCAAAAAACAACAGAAAAGAGATGAGAATATTTCAGATCCGGTAATGCTTGAGCATTTTGTCAGTTTCTTGTAAAATAATGTTTAACAGAGATCTTCCCAGGATTTAGAGTTTGAATCTTTAAGGAAAAGACATGTAAGTAAAGCTGAAGAAATCTTAGCTTTACAACTATTTGCTTATTGAAGATTCTTACCATTTAATGTCTTTAGTTTTTAAAAGAACAGAAAACCCCCAAATCATAAAAAACTAAAGTGTTTTTGGTGTTAAAGTTTACTGCTGGTAACTAGTAATTTTATTTTTAACAGTTCTTTCTCATAATACAATTAAACAAAGCCCTCAAGTAGTAAATTGAAAGAAACCTCATGTGTATGGTTACCAAAATTATGTCTGTCTAAAAATATTACATATTTTAATCATGTATTTAAGTAATTGGTTCTTCTGGATTCTTATTTTCTACTGTTACTGCTGACTATTTACATAATACTTCTATCACATTTTATTTTTTTCCTTAATCCTAATCTTTACAGATTTTAGGTTTTTTTAAACTTCATAGTTTTAGGGTTTTTTAAAATGTATCAGTAAGCTTGCTTTTTAAAGTAATTCTAGTTATAGCCGTTTTAATCTGTTACCCAAGTTAAATTCCTGTTACATGTAAACCTGGAAGGTTATTTAAAATTTTGAGTTTTTGCAAGAATTACCATAGACTTACCTTAAATCTACAAAATTTCTGCTTCATACAAGGTCATACTATAACTGGGGAATTGTTCTAAAGCTTTTCAGTTAATTTTATATCTTCTTAGCTGTGTTTTATAGTTATACTTTAAGATCTCCAACAGTATACATAAACTTACACACTGTAAGTGCAGGAAGAGAGACTCGTGTTTACAGCTGTTTTCTTTTGTTTGTATCCCTTTGTTTTTACTCACTGTATTATCAACCTTATACGTTTCATCTGTTACTTGTTACAGTTTCTTTCTAGTGTGACTGAAGCACTTGTTCTCTGAAACCCAACACATATCTACCGATGGATATGCATATACACCAAAGATTATTAAAGTGAACCTCAAATAATGCATCAGTCACCACAGAGTACATAATGATCAGTTTAAGAAAAGAGTTTCAAGTTTCTACAAATTTAAGATTTTGACATACAGAATTTTTAAATAAAAACAAAAGAAATATTAAAATACCTTTATGCATCTGTTGATAAAGCACACCCAGAAACTTGCTGTTCTTATTCTTGCTTTTAAAAATCAGTGTAGACGTTTGTTCATCTGTGACTTTAATGGCAATTGCATTTTTGTTTGGACAGTCGAATCCAAGCTGTAATAAGGAACTTCTTTTTCTTCTTACAACACTCATCAATTGAATTTGACAAGCCACCTATGTAATTTTAAGTAGTATAGTGGAAGTTCTGGTCTGTGGGCTGTCTTTAATCCAGCAGAGAAAGCATTGTGGCTTTGCTCTGTCTGCCACATGGAGAAATGCGGTAACCAGCTGCAGCTGACCCAGATTGCATATACAGTACCCTTGAATAGTGATTCCCTCTCCTTCTCAGTAAACTCAAGTTCAGCCCACATATTACGTCACCAAAAAATTGCTGGAGACTAGGGGGGAAAATCTCCTCCTTAGGATTTCCTCTCTGTAGCCTTAAATAGGGGTGGGGGTGGTGGAATCAGCAGGAGGTTGAATAGCTCGGAACAAGGAGAGACTGTGTGCAGGTTGAAGGAAGGGCACCATCTGGAAACAAACTATCATAGTTCAGCGGGCAATTATAAAACAAACATTTTAGTCTGCTGGCCAGAGATCTTTTAACTTGAATACTGAAAAAATAGTACTCGGCTTCTCAGAAATAGTAGCAGGATGATAAGTTTGTTTTTTGTTACAAAGAACAAGAGTCGGACTTAGTCAGGAGGCAGCCACCTAAATAATGTAAAACTCTGTATAGCCTGGAAGAATTTTTGAACATTTTACTAAGTTGCCATTTCAGAAGGTTTTAAACTTAGAAGGAACCTGGTGTTTTGATATATCTCACTGTGTAATGTCTCTTAAGATAAAACTGCTCATATGTATAATTACTAAAAATAAATGGAAATCTATATTTAAAATTCAGAAACTTAATACTTTTAAAAATTCTGATGTTCTGTAATGTCGTATCCTCCTATTCTAACAACATGACCCCTCTTGTCTGAATAAGGTTATTATTAGTAGTTGATGTTTTGAGATTTAGAAGCAAACATAACCCTGGCCAGAGTGAAGGGTGGGGAAAGAGAGTTCTGAGTCCCCACAGGCTATGTGAATTTAGACAGGTCAAGAGAGAGAATTAATAACCGTTTAGTACTAACTGTGCTATTATATTTCATTAAACCAAGAAATGTTGATTAAGTAACTCGATAGCTAATGAAACAAAAATTTAGGCATCTTAACTGATTTGGCTTAGTACTTCACTATTAAATATTAGAACTGGGATTTGAATCTAATTCCAAAGCATTATGCCACACTGTCTCTCCTTGGATTGTATAATTGCTGATTGCTGCTTCTAGATAAAATTGGGGGGGGGGGGGGGGGAGGTTCTAATTTCCATATTACCATGTGCTTTCTCCTCTGTGTTGCCTTAGCTTGAGCTATTTTTTTCTTTCCTGACAGGCTCTACCATCATTTCTTTGTTGAACCACATTCTTTATTTAAAGTCAGCCTAGTTTCAGAGTAAATAAAAACCTACTTTCTGCCTCTTTCACAGAATTGTTTCTTTAAATTCTGTCCTATACATATGTGTATTGAGGGTTACGAACTCACGGGTCGGCAAAGACAGACACTCACAAGAATGAAGCAAGTCATGTAAGTGAAGTAAACCAGAAGTCAGACAGCAAGGGAAAATGAGAGCTAGGACAGACTGGCATCCTTAAGGTTAATACAGCAGGCTCTGCACCCTTCCCAGCTGTACCTCGTTGTTGCCACGTCTCCCCATGTTTTAGGAAGAGATGGACTCCCAGCTTCCTAGCCTCTGGTTTATGATACATATTACATTACTTGATCATTTAGCGATTCTGTTGTATTCACTAATATCTTAATCTGGGGAAAATATCAGGTAGTAAGTTTCTCCTGAGCTTTTTTACTTGAGTGGTTTTGAACCTTCTAATGTTAACAATAAGTAATATCATTAACCGAAGTAGGAAATGAGAATGTCAGATGTTGAAGGACAAATAATAATTAATTTGGCATGTTATATTGAAAATGAAAGTTAGGAGTTCAGTTCTAAAAAGAGATTTGGAAAGTCATCAGCAATAGGTGATGGCTGAGGCTACAGAAGTAAGATGATCCAGAAAAGTACACTCAGAGTGAGAAGATGAATAACCATGGGGAACCATGGGGAACACCACCAGCTTCTAGGGAACATGAGGAAAAAGGAGATTGGAAGGAGTGTGGGAAGCTAGGAAGGTTCAAGCCAGTAAAGACCCAGGAACAAAGGGAATGACGAAAGTACTGCTGTGGCACTAGGAAGCAGCAGGAAGAGACCTAGAGAGATGTGTAAGGATTTCATAGTGAGCAGGTCCCTTATACCTTTTCTGGAGTAAGTTTCAGCAGTGAGATCTTGATTTCAGATTGTATTAATAGGTTGAAAAGCAGATAAAATTTAAGTGCCAAATGGACTAGTTTCTGCAGTACATTAATAACTTAGAAATCAATAAGAAAAAGACAAATCAAAAAAATGGACAAAAGTCATTTTGTAGAAATATGAGTGCGTAACCACATAACTAATCAAGAAAATGAAAATTAAAACACAATAAGATATTATTTAATACTCACAAGATTGGCAGAAATTAAGAAGACTGATAATATCAAGGGTTAGCACAAGTATGGGTCAGTAGAAACAGACTGTCAATGGAAGTATGAATTCACAGAGCTTTAAAAAACAGTGTGGCATTGTCTTGTAAAGTTGAACACTAATATACCATCTATATGTCATTTATGGTATACAATAGGCCTGTGTATCCTAGAGAAATTCTTTGTGTTCCAGGAGATATGTACAAGAATGTCATTACTAACATGCAGAGGGAGGGGAGAAGTACTGAAAAATCTATCAAATAAAATAAATAAATTGTGACATATAGTTACAAATTCCTCAATTTAAGGAATTCCAGCTGCACTTAACAGCATGAATAACTCTTGGAAAGAAAATGGTGAGACACAGCAATCACAGGAGGCCATATTTAAAAATTTTAACAGACACCTGTATATTACTTGTGTACCTTTTCTGACTTTACCAATGTCATCATTTGATTTAATCACATGCACATAAAATGGGATTTTTTTAAAGCTCAAAAATAAGCAAAAGTAAATAATATACTTTGTAGAGCTACAGACATATCTTGCGGGGGAAAAAAAAAAGAAGGGAATAATCTTAAGTTTTGGAATAGTAGTTCCCCCTGGACAGGAGGCAGGGAGATGATACAGGGAAGGAGCAGTACTGGTGGTGCTGTAGTTCCTAACTCGACTGGTCATTCACAGATAGTTGTTCCTACGTTACAGGTGTTAGAATATACTTTTTTCAAAGGTAAAATCATGATTCTCACACAAATACAAAATGAATATACGTCAAGGTTTTATTTAAATCATTAAACTTATAAGGGAATCTGGAAGATTTTTGCAACCATTTCAAGGGATAATTCAAAGCACCACATATACCATATAGGCACTAAAGAATGCTAAAATGAATATACAGATAGTTACAAAACTGCTCAACATCCGTAGACCATTAATCTGTTACATTTTACTAGACATAAGGAACTGGCATCTTTATGGACAAGAATTTGTATTATTACCAGTTTGCAACAACTTACAGAGTTATGAAATAGCTCCAAAACCCCAGAAGGATACACTGGAGACAAGACACCTAATAATCTTTTTTGCCTATTTCAAAGTCTGTCACATGTAAACTTTTCTGTGTCAAATATTTCATTAAAGAGATGGAGGATAAAATAAGTGGACTGGTCTGTGTTTCTCTTAAAAGGTTTTGTTAAAGAAAGAGAGGCAGGCCCGTCCAGAGGGACTCAGATTTGAACAGAAGGGTTGCCTTGATTTTGTTTTCTTAAAGAGGAAGTGTAAGTGTATGCATGCGCTCTAGGGAAGGAGCTGAGGGGGCGTGGGTGGGGGTGGGGAGGAGGAGTGAAGGTGGAGAAAGCAGCAGGTGTTCTAAAAGAGGCAGTAGCAATGACATTGAGTCGCAGATTAGATTTGGGAAGGAGAAACAGATTCCTCTTCCTCTGAGATTGAAGGAAAAGGAAAGAATCTAAGCTAAAGATTCATTTGAAGTCCTTAAAAAAGTTGAGAGTCCAAAGAAAAGGAAGTATTTATGATAGATGGCTTAAAGAACACCATTAAGATTTCCTGAGTGGAAAGGAATGATAATAGGAAGAGTAAAAGGATTGCCACGTCAACGTTTTAGGTTGTTTTAAGCACCTATTGTCAAAACACTGTGCAAGATTTTCATTTTCCTAGAGTGCAGGATAGAGCAACTGCCTTGAATGAGTTTATAGTTGTGAACAGATAAGATATAAACATGAGAGTTCAAACAGATTATAAAGTTGTAAAAATTACCGAGTGGTATTATAGATAACTGTATGAATTTATAACAGCATGTAGTAGAGAAATTGGAGTACGGGTATATATTCTGAGGTCCAGTGCTATTACTAAAAGTTCACATGGCTTTAGACACATGCTTTGTTATCTATGGACCTCAGATTCCTCATCTGTAAAAAGAGGAGATGAGACTAGACAGTTCCTAAATTCCTTTCTTGGAATCTATGAGAAAACTAAAAGAACAGTTGACACTGACCGGGATATAAAATGTAACGGAGATGAACAGAGATGAGTTAAGAAACAGTCCAGATGAAAGAAATGGCATGAGGAAAAAACACAGGGCTTCTTTGGAAGGCAGTATGTGACAGAGTTCATGAATATGGAGTAATGAGGTAAAAAGTAGGAAGATGCATTTTTCTCTTTATAGTTGTTTTACACACTTTACATTTGTATAATAAATTCTCAAAAAATGTTTTTAAGTAAGTGACCTTGCATATCCAGAACTGGTAGAACCGGATTATTTTGGAGGTTATGGAGAAATGGAGCTGCAGGATCAGGGTTGGGGGAAGAATTAACTTCAATTTGTAATCCTGTGCACTGTTTCAGAAATCCAACTATTGATCTTCAGAACAAGACATTTTTACCAGAATGAGACAATTTTCATTTAATGTCAAGTGATGGTTATCAACTCGAGGCAAGGGCATATAGAACTAATACTAAGTAACTACCCCATGCCGTGTACTGTCCAGGCTAACTTAGTTGCTTCATCCTCTCCTTAGAAAATAGGCACTAGTTGTGGAGACATAAAAGCTGAGGTACAGAAGTTAAAACAACTTTCTCCACATGTACAACTAACCAGAGGCAGAGCCAGTTCAAGAGCTCATCTTCTTTCCACGAGGTTCCAAACCAGACTCAGATGTAAAATGGTATCATAAAGGATCCTTACAGAAAACATATTATTTACGTATCTGGTCCCAAATCCATGGAAATCTAGGCCTCAGCCATCATGTTTTAACAAGGCTGTGGTGTATTACATAACAACAGATCCTAAGTATGGCATATATATTGAAATATAGCTGTAAACTAGCTTTGTCCCCCTTTTTCATTTTGTCATCCTCTTCCAAGCTGCAGTTAAGAAAACACTCATTTATCTCATTTTGTTCCAGGTATCTATTTGTCAGACTTAACATACATTGATTCAGCATACCCATCAACTGGCAGCATTTTAGAAAATGAGCAGAGATCAAATTTGATGAATAACATCCTTCGAATAATTTCTGACTTACAGCAGTCCTGTGAATACGGTACGTCTCTGGGGAACACCACTACTCCGTTATGCTGTGATTCTGTTGGTCCATTTACCTGACTTGGTACACATTTTTCACACAGCAGGGAACGTTCTCTTAATATAAAGGGGGTAATGATTGTTTCATTTCACTGTTTGATATTTACAGCCTGTTTGAGATTTTGCTTTTAAGGAATTGAAATATTTCATATTTAAAGTTTTTTATCTTTTGCTCTTCTGCTATTTTGTAGCAACTTTGCTAATAACATCATTTATAAAATTTTTTATTATCTTCATGTCGTTTGATACTCCTCATCAATTATGTAAGTGCTTCTTACATTTTTCAGTTAGGGAAGGGCTACGATGTATGATCCTAGCTAGTAACAATTGACTAGCTTTTTTGAGTTCAATATTGGGTAGATAACCAGTTTTTGTTCAAGATGAAATTTATGGAAACCACATATGTAGAAGGAGCTTACACAAGCCCAGATGATGAGAAAAAGGGTGTGGTTTTTTTTTTTAATGTTTTATAAGTTTTGGATTCTTTCAGTTTGATAGGGAATAAAGATACCTTAGTGGCATGTGTTTTTATAATATTAAAAAACAGTGAGCATACATTCTCTGATTTATTTAAAATAGATTTATCTTAAAGCTAACTTATATGCATATATACTTTTAAGAAAACCTCAGAAACTTCCTAAAAGTATATGCAGGGAGGAAATTTATCACATACATTGGATTTTGTAAATGGAGTTGGATCAGGGTTTTTTTATACCAGAGAAACCAGAGTATGTTTACTTTTTTTCTTAATCTATACAAACAGCATGCCTTTAGTTTTACATTAAATAAAGTTAAATAAAATCTACCTCAGTAATATCCTTCTAGAGTTAATTTGAATTTTGGTGCTACATGGCCTTAATTTTTCTTTTAAGTACATTTTTCTCAGATTAACTTTAAAAATTCTGGTTAAGATATACTTTATAAAATAATCATTTATCACATTTTGCCTAGATATCCCCATGTTGCCTCATGTCCAAAAATATCTGAACTCTGTTCAGTATATAGAAGAACTACAGAAGTTTGTGGAAGATGATAATTACAAGTAGGTTGGATCTTCAAAAGTGGTCTGTTTCACTTTGTCCTGTCTTCTACCCTTTGTCCCTGTGGATTTAAACATTTGACCATTACATCATATCATACAAACACCTAATCCAGTTATGTCTTTACAGTGCTAAAAGTACTTACATATTTCTTTTTAATCACTTGGTATGATTGAGCCAATATACAAATACCTCGTCTGTTCTTTTGTTTAAAAGTATTTCGTCTTTCTCAGGTTGTTGAGAGCTGATGTTTGATAGTTGTGGTTTGAATTTCTTCCTTTCTCTCTATGTTCAAACACTGAATCTTTATGGAAATTTATCTCTTATTTATTTATTTTTTAATTTCGAGAGAGAGCACGAGCACGCATGCAAGGGGGGGGGCGGGGGAGCAGAAAGAGAGGGAGAAAGGAAATCCCACGCATTGTCAGTGTAGAGCCTGATGCGGGGCTCAAACTCAGGAAGCAAGATCATGACCTGAGCTGAAACCAAGAGTCAGATACTGACTGAGCCACCCAGGTGCCCGTGGAAATTTATCTTTTAATAGATCGAAAAACTAATGAAACAATCTACAAATAGGAAAATTACTCCTTTTCAGTGGTAATTTTTGACATAGCTTTGATTTTGTTCTTAATTATTTTTGTGGATTGAGGAAATAATTGAGCCTTGTTAACTTCTGGGTTAGAGATATGTGTCCAGCACCAGACTTCCCCTTTTCTCTATTGTAACAAGTCCTTTGCTACAGATTTTTTAAAAATCACTTTTAAAATACCATTGTCCTTTTCCTTCTCCTTAACATCCACAGTACTGACCAAGGTGGGAAGGATTTTTGAACCCTTTTAATTTTCAGTGGTATGCTGTACATTATAACTGCCAGTGTGTGTTTGTTTCTTTCAAAAGATGGAAGGATGAAGAGCTTACATTTATTTCTCTCAAGGCTTCTGATATTTCTTGTGACTTTGTTAATTTCAAATTTAAAAAAATTTCACTTAACTTTATTATGCCAGTTACTCCCAAGCTTTCAAATTTACCTTTTGTCTTTCATAAATATGTTTTCCAGTAAAAGCTCATACTCATGCTTACTTCACATACCTATACATACTTACTTTATAACTTATCAAAGTGAGAGACTAGGTTATTTTTCACTATTACTGCTGTATATAAAAATTTTGTTATAGTGGTCATCAACTTTATTGTTCCACAAGTTTCAGCAGTTTTTGAAGAACAGACTTAGTACAATAAAGGGCTAGAAATTCTGAAAAATAACTAGAAATAAGCAACTTACTTTATTTTGTTTTTTAATGTTTTATTTATTTCTGAGAGAGAGAGAAAGAGACACACTGTGCAGGGTTGGGTCAGAGAGAAAGGGAGACACAGAATCTGAAGCAGGCTCCAGGCTCTGAGCTGTCAGCACAGAGCCTGACACGGGGCTCGAACCCACGAACTGTAAGATCATGACCTGAGCCAAAGTCAGACCCCCAACCGACTGAGCCACCCAGGCACCCCTAAACAACTTTTTTTAAAGATTAGATATATTAAGCTCTAGATAATGTATATTTAAATGTATCTAAAATTTTATTAATGTTTAAAAGCCTTTATTGCCATGTCTTTCCCCACACCATAATATTACCAGTTTATATTTCTGTATCAGTTTTGTATCAATTTTTATTTTATTTTATAAAAGCTTATTACATAGCAATTCATTTGAAAATATGTGAGGCCATCCACCGCAGAAATTTCTTACTTGACACATCCCCAAAAGCAAAGGAATCAAGAGCAAAAATAAACTATTGGGACCTCATCAAGATTAAAAGCTTCTGCACAGCAAGGGAAATGATCCATAAAACTAATGGGCAACCAACGGAATGGGAAAAGATAGTTGCAAATGACATATCAGATAAAGGATTAACATCCAAAATCTATAAGGAACTCACCAAACTCCACACCCGAAAAACAAACAACCCAGTGAAGAAATGGGCAGAAGATATAAACAGACACTTCTCCAAAGAGGACATCCAGATGGCCAACAGACACATGAAACGATGCTCAGCATCCCTCCTCATCAGGGAAATACAAATCAAAACCACACTGAGATACCACCTCACGCCAGTCAGAGTGGCTAAAATGAGCAAATCAGAGAACGCGAGATGCTGGTGAGGATGTGGAGAAACGGGCACCCTCCTACACTGTTGGTGGAAATGTAAACTGGTGCATTTTACATTGAATTTTGTGCGGTTTACATGAATGTAAACTCTGGAAAACACGGTGGAGGTTCCTCAAAAAATTAACAATAGAACTCCCCTATGACCCAGCAATAGCACTGCTAGGAATTTACCCAAGGGATACAGGAGTGCTGATGCATACAGGCACATGTACCCCAGTGTTCATAGCAGCACTCTCAACAATAGCCAAAACATGGGAAGAGCCTAAGTGTCCATCAACGGACGAATGGATCAAAAAGATGTGGTTTATCTATACGATGGAATACTACATGGCAATGAGAAATAATGAAATCTGGCCATGTGTAGCAACATGGATGGAGCTTGAGGGTGTTATGCTGAGCGAAATAAGTCAGGCAGATAAGGACAATTATCATATGTTTGCACGTATAGGAGGATTGGGAGGAACTTGACGGAGGAACAATGGGGAGAAGAAGGGCGGAAATGGTGGGGGAGAGGGAGAGAGGCCATGAGAGACTCTTGAATGCTGAGAACAAACTGAGGACTGATGGGTCCGGGGGGAGAGGGGGGAGATGGGCATGGAGGAGGGCACTTGTGGGGATGAGCACTGGATGTTATATGGAAATCAACTTGACAATAAACTATTTGTAAAGAAAAAAGAAAAGAAAATATGTGAGGTCATGGAATCAGCTTTTCAAGGTTGGAGTTTTTTCATAAATCTGTTGTTGCCCTAGGTTGTGAGCTGCTTGAGTCTGGTGGTCTGTATCCTCTATTTACCACTATCTTCTATGTCAGCTCCAGACACTGACAGCAGAAAACACTCATGTTTTGTCCGGGGAGGTACGGAAGATTATCTTAAAACTCAAAATATGATTAAGTAGTTACTAAAAATTTCTCTACCTCAATCAAATTTACTGGATTTAAAAGCAGTTAAACTGTTCGGGGCACCTGGGTGGCTCAGTCGGTTAAGCATCCAACTCGATCTCGGCTCAGGTCATGGTCTCACAGTTCAAGTTTGAGCCCCACATCAGGCTCTGCGCTGGCAGCACAGTGCCTGCTAGGGATGCTCTCTCTGCCCCTCACCCTCTCATGTTTTCTTTCTCCCTCTCTCTCTCAAAATAAATAAATAAAAACTTTTTTAAAAGGCAATATAACTTAAATGATTCAGTAGGAGTAAAGCCTAAGATAAATTACTGCTGTTATAGAAGATGGTAAATTGTTACTGACTGCTATGAAATTAAAATAATAAAGTGTTTATTTAACCTGATTTTTACTTTGTTAAAAGGATAAAGTAGCCAATTAAGCCAGTAAGTAGTTTTAAATGTCTGTAAACTGACATAAGATACCTTCGTTTTTGTAGGAGAGCTGATGTTATTGTACTGATTTTGTTTTCATGAGTAGCTAGAACCAGAGTATCCTTACAATTATATTCATTTTAATAAATATTTATTAAGCTTTAGCCACAGGAGAGTTACTATGCTAGCTGCTAGGATTACAAAAACAAAATCTTGTTCTTGCCCTTAATTAAGAAGTTCAGTCTAATACAAAACACATCCACAACCAGATGACTAAAAATCACGTCAAACATCACTGTAATGGAGATATGCCCAGGGTCCTCTGGGAATGTAGATACGGGGGAGACCCAACTCAGCTTTTGAGTGGAAAAAACAAGGAAAAGAGTAACATGAACAGCTTTCGGAGATGATGTCTCCTGGGCTTAGTCTTAACAGGTGAATAGGAGATATCTCCACGTAAAGAGTGAGGAAAGGCGTTCCAGGGGAGGGACTGATGAAAGGAATAGAGTGGGAAACAGTGTTTTTACTTGAGGGAGCAAGTCACTTGGGGGTGTTGGCCTCATATGGGAGACTGAAGAAGATAATTTTTAAAGATGCAGTCTGTTGCATGACCCTACTAATTCAGTGTACCGAGAACCAGAGCATTTTAAGATAAGAGCTATTAATATGATTAGAAAAATGGTTTTATGATGAAAGATTTAAATAAAAATGACACCTTGTTTATCCAAAGGCCTCTGTTGTTGGCATCTTCATCTATATAGGCAACCAGTATAGATAAAACAAATTACATGCATGTTTTTTAATCAGCATGAAAATCTTTCGAAGTTACTTCATTTTAATACTGAACACATCGTTTCTCAGTGAAGTAGCAGCACTATTAACTCTGTGGTGTTTTGATGACAACGTAGGCAACTGACACTCCAGCTTGACTGCTGTGCTTTAAAAGATGCTTTTACTATTGCTGATAGCAGTGTAGTTCACACATAGCTTCATTCCTGTTCCTTTCTTTCGCAGCTCTGTGTTAAGAAATTGTAGTTACTTTGTTTACTTCTGTGTCTTCCACCTACCAAACTGTAAGCTTCAGAAAGGCAGGGACACCATGTCTGCCCTTACTTAGTCTCTCTTATATTCACTGCAAAGAGCACAGTGCCCAGCACCAAACAGATGTTTAATACCTGTTTATCAGATGAATGAATTCACTACAATCTGTAGCCCAAATAATTAAACTGCTCTGTAAAAAGAAAAAGAGCAGAGAGTTCTAGTTAATTGTACATCCGTTCAGTACTGCATTTTACACTGTCAAAGAATTGGAAAATAATCATATATAATTGCCTTGTTAGGTAGTCAAGTAATTAATAAGCTAAGAACCTATAATAATAGATTTATCATGATGAGTATCAATTATACAATTTCATTAAGAAAACACCAGTTAATAGAATACTTTTTAAAAATATTAATATTTAGACAAATATTTAGTAAGAATAGGCCTTGTGGACTATACTAAAGTATTTTCTACAACTGCTTTATTATCCTAGTTCCTGAAAATTTCCACTTATAGGAGTCCTAATCTCTTCTTGCTGTGGAACTCAAAACTGGATATATTATCCTAAATGGAACTTATGTACAAAGTAATAAACTTTGAGTTAGATCAGGGATTTACCAGGAACTTTGCAAACCTTTTTATTGTTGAGCATCCATCTTTTAGGAAGTTGAATTGGCCGTTTTGGGGGGTGTTTTGGAAATTTTGAGTTCTAGAGAAGCCATTAATACATCAAGTAAAGATTCTGGAAATAATATGCATAATACATTTAGTAACATATGTGAAAAATCCTGAATTTAAGTGTCAGGTATCAATATAACTTCAAGTTATGTTACTTTTGAGTGGTTATCAAAAATCTTTAAATGTGGCGAACCATTTGGCAACATTGGGGTAGTTTGGGAAGATTTTTCTGTTTTTAAATGTAACTTTTAATGTTATTCCCTTCCCTAATATGTCCTAGAATAACCACGAGATCAGCTTTGTATGAAGGATATAGGAAATTTACTATTAAAGATTGTCCTTGAAGAAAAATATATAGTTGAGATTACTTTATAAAAATTCTTTTTTTTTTTTTTTTTGGTGAGCAAACACATAATTTTAATATTATTTGGTCAAATGTTAATCATTTTATGTGTTTTGTTTCTTTTTCAAATGACAGGCTTTCATTAAAGATAGAACCAGGGACAAGCACACCACGTTCTGCTGCTTCCAGAGAAGATTTAGTAGGTTAGTGCATATTCTTTTCTCTGATGATCAAATAAGAAATCAGGTAACCTAATAAAGAATGCGCTTCAAAGTAGATACACTTAGCACATTTTGTAATGGACGCAAAATTTTATTTTTGATATTAAAATATATCACTTTTTTGTTTGGGCTTTTTTTTTTAATTAAAAAGTTGTTACTTGAGAGGTGGCTGGGTGGCTCAGTTGGTTGAGTGTACAACTTTGGCTCAGGTCATGATCTCACGGTTCATGGGTTTGAGCCCCACATCAGGCTCTGTGCTGACAGCTCGGAGCCTAGAGCCTGCTTCTCATTTTGTCTCTTCTCTCTGCCCCTCCCCTGCTAGCGCTCTGTCTCACTGTCTCTCTCAAAAATAAACACTAAAAAAAAAATTTTTTTTAAGTTGTTACTTGGAAAAAATAAGTTTTTACTTGGAATTTGTAGAAATGTACAAACAAGCCAACTAATCAAGAAAAATACATAACAAAAAAAAATAGATAATATTCGTATTCATATTTATGAATATCTCTTCTTTTTATTAAGAATACACTGTCCTAGGCAATGAAGATTAATTACATTAGAAATTTGTGAGGTCTGAGTGGAAAATTTTACTAATTTGAATAATTATGGAAGTCAGTTTTAGTGACTTAACTTTTTAGAAATTTCACTTTAATACTGGTCCACATACTGAAAATATTAAAAAAGAATTGTCACAGTCCCTTAATTTACCTGTCACAGTATAATGGGGATAATATTTATATACCACACATGATTAAAAATGTAAAATTGGAGAGAATTCCCTATTATTTAAGAAATTATTAATTACCTTTTTGTAATTTCAAGTGAAGAGTTTGACATTAAGCTTCATAATACTGCATCCTCTCAAATTATTGGGAGGCTGATCTCATAAGATGTGGAGGAAGCAAGGAGACAAGCCATGACAATATCTAGGAGAGGATTACAAGCAGAGGAAAACAGGGCGGTCTAAATCTCTTAAATTTGCTTTTGTTTTTATTGTTAAAGTGATAGTTTGCAAATCTGTGTAGCTGTCGGTTCTGTTTTTTAAATTCCCATAAGCCTGAACAGTGTCAATATAGACTGGAATTCCAACTTGAATGCTCTTTCTCTAAGAGAAAGCTGAAACTCAGAGCAAGAAGCAGTGTGCAAAATGAAATGAGCACTAAGTTACAGGACTCAGACCTGGGTGATTAGTTCAGGCTTTACACGCAGTGAGCCTGAGTCTGTCTCTTCTAATTCTTCTTTCTCTGTTAGTGGGGGAAAATGCTTCTACTGCCTGCTTAGTGCAATTAAGATAGATAGAAATTAACTGATTTTATATGTTTTGGACTTTGCAGAAAGTATATATTTAATATTCAGTCATTGAAAATAGAATTAGCAATATTATTTTATTTAAACCCCATTTTAAATTTTCTATCGAGGGATTAAAAAGAAAATACTCTCTTGAAGCCATTTGAAAACCTCTCTCTCTCTCTCTCACATGTAACCCTTAGGCCCTGAAGTGGGAGCATCTCCACAGAGTGGAAGGAAAAGCATGGCAGCTGAAGGGGCCTTGCTTCCACCGACACCTCCGTCCCCTCGGAACCTGATTCCCCATGGACATAGGAAGTGCCACAGCTTGGGTTATAAGTCAGCAGCTTTAATTTTATCTTTCAGAATTTTAGGTTGTTTCTGGTTGGATTTATTTTCTGTATATTTTATTAGTTAAAAGAAATTAGCATCCTGAATAGTTTTATTTGTATAACCATAGTTTTTTCCTGATTCAGTAAAATATCTTGTTTGCTTAAAAGCACTTAGTTTTTCCTTAATTTGGAAATAAGCTTCCCAGCAGTGCCTTTACAAATGAACTATATTACAGAGCGTCATCATAAATAAAATCAGGAAAACAATATACCATTTTCCTTTTAAATTATTATCTTTGTATCAAGACAGTCATTGCTTGTCTTAATCAAAATAAGTCACCATAAGTTAAGGTCTATAAAAATCACTCCTTTGATTCCTAAACATAAAGAAAAGGAAACTGATTTTTTGTTTTAACACCATTAACTTTGCAAGACTTTTCTCAAAATGGGGCCCATAGTTCACTGTTGCCATGATTTTTGTGAAAATTTAATAGCTGTTTTCCAAAAGCTAATGTAAATAAACAATTTTTTAATGGACCTGAGACTTAAGGTGAATTTAAGGTATTAGCTCTTACATAAATAGATAAGGCCTGGCCTGGTTTCCTAAGACATTTTCCCTAAACTGCTGGTTTGAGGCTCTCGTGGTAAAAATCTTATGTGTTTATTAGTATGAGAGTTGAGAAGTCAGGTCAGGATAGCAAGTAAGTCTTCTGTGTCCTAAGTCTTTATATAAGAGTATCTTTTATATTTTGAATTACCTGACAGTAGTAAAAGATATGAAAAATATTTCTCTTTGTCTCCAGTTTCATTCATAAAATGAACACAGCAGAGTTTAAGAGTGCAACGTTCCCAAATGCAGGGCCAAGACACCTATTAGACGATAGCGTCATGGAACCCCACGCACCGTCTCGAGGCCAAGCTGAAAGTTCTACTCTTTCTAGTGGAATATCAATAGGTGAGAAATAACTTCTCTGAGAGGATTCCAAGTTATATAAAATGAGACTTTTAATAAAACTCAGCTGGAAAAAAAAGTCTTTAATCCTACCATACATAGAGAAAATTTGATAAAAGCAAAGTAACAGATATAGGATCATCTTACTAGTAGCTTCTGAAGTTAATAATTCATGATGGTTTTAAAAGTGCTTGATGTTTCTGACTCCAAAAGGGGAAGCATTTGAGAAATGGTGGGAAAAGAAGGTAGACTGGTTGAGTTGGTTACTTCATGCAGTTTGTTTGTAGGATGAGGGAAAAGACAGTGTTGGTATACTCGCTGTCTTTTGGATTAAGCAGCTAGTTAGATAGTGGTGCTACTGCCATAGTAGAGAAGACAAGAACAATCATTTGTAGGTGGTGAGGTATTTGTGAAGGAGGACTGGGTTTGGGGAATTAGGAATTCTGTTTTGGACATGTTTGGTCCACATGGAGTTGTCAGGTAGGTAACTGAATATGTGACTTGAACTCAGTGGGTAAGGTTAGGTTTGTAGATAGGAGTATAGGAGTTAGGACATTTATAATATCTCAGGCCATGAGATTGGTTAAGTTCACCAGGGGAGAGAATGTAAACAAATAAGAGAAGATATACTCCTATTTAGAGGTCTGATTACTTTTTGTTTAAAGATGGGCCATCAAAAGAAATAGGAAGAAGGGGGATCAGTGAAGTAGCGATAAAAATCAGGGCGTGGGACCACAAAAGCCCAGTAGACAAAGTATCTCCAGGAGGAAGGAAGTATCACTGTCAAATGCAAGGAAAAAGAAAAAATGAGAATAGGAATTGATGAGTTCATTTGGCAAGATAGAAGTGTTTGGTGACCTTGGTAAGAGTTGCTTCATAGTGGAGTCCTGATTGGAGTAGCCTGGAAAATGAGAGGTGAGGAAATAGAGACAGCTACCGTGAAGGGGACCAGAAAATCGGGACCATACTGGAAAAGGAGATGAGGTTGTGAAGAATTTGTTTTTACTTCCTAAACTTGCTTATTTTCTGCATCTTTTAGATGAGCGTTTCTTTTGATAATTAGAAAAATATACAGTACTGTTTTATTTTTTAAAAGGAATAAAGGAGGAAAATGTCTTCCCTGATTAAGTACCAGCTTGGTCAAGAGCTCTTTGCCTGTTAATAGGATCATCTCAATATTGATAAGTCAGTAGAAAGAAATCCAAGAAGGAGTTCATTTTCGTAAACATATTGACTTCCTTGGGGCACCTGGGTGGCTCAGTTGATTAAGCGTCTGACTTTGGCTCAGGTCATGATCTCATGGTTCATGAGTTCGAGCCCCACTTCAGGCTGTGTGCTGACTGCTCAGAGCCTGGAGCCTGCTTTGAATTCTGTGTCTCCCTCTCTCTCTGCTCCTCCCCTGTTCGTGCTCTGTCTCTCTCTCACACAAAAAGAAAATAAACATTAAAAAAAATTTTAAAAAACAAAACAAAACATTTGACTTCCTTAACCTTTGAGAGACCCAAACCCTGTAAATAAAATTGATTTAGAGCTTTCCAGCACCATTCAGTTTTTTATTTCCAAAGTTCCCCCTTTGATAAATGCAAATGATTAAATGACGATAAAATTCACAAAATGCAAGACCAATTAGCCACCTAAAATACCTCTTCATTGATGCTGTAAGTGGTCTATATACAAGTATCAACCTCAGTCTGAAAAATAATACACAGAATAATTATGCAAAAGTGAAAGGAAGAACTTTTTTCCCGTTAAAAATTTGTTACACTATGGAGTCCTGGCATGCCACTTAAATGAAAAAATAATAATTTTTAAAATCACAGCTCTCAATTAAGTATATATAATATTTGACTTTTCCCCATCATAGATTTTTTTTTAATGTTTTATTTATTTCTGGGAGAGAGAGAGAGAGAGAGAGAGAGAGGGGCCAGAGAGAGAGGGAGTCACAGACTCTGAAACAGGCTCCAGTCTCTGAGCTGGCAGTCAGCACAGAGCCCGACGCGGGGCTCGAACCCACGAACCGCGAGATCATGACCTAAGCGAAAGTCGGACGCTTAACCGACTAAGCCACCCAGGCGCCCCCATCATAGATTTTATAATGAAAATTCTTTAGCTTATTTATGGCTTTTACTTTCCATAGATATTCTTTTTTTTGTCACTGCAAGACAGTTACTTATCTAGTTATTTCATTTGGTTACAGTTAGTGTCTCAGTTTGTAGGCCTTTCTTTAGAACAGGAAGAGACTATTTTAATTTTTGCCTTTGTATTTATTTTTTGTTTATTCAAAGGCTATTAAGTAGGTAAGCAATAAGGATTGTTACATCCTTGTTTATAAATTAAGAACGTTAAACATAGACATTACCTTGCAAGGTTTTTGTTTTAAAGCTGTATATTCTGGAAGGAAAATAAATCTGTAACCTTAGATGTTAGGTGTTACACACACACACACACACACACACATACACACACACAATTTATAGTTACAAAAGAGTTTTTTCCTTAGTTGTGACTTTAACACATAATATCAACCTATACCATAGAGGTTTTGAGAAAGTACTGCAGACAAATTAGCCAGTGCTTGGGCCAGTGGCCTCTGTGGTTCAGATGTCTTAGATAACCTGACGTGGTCTTGCCTAGCTAAGAGAAGCATATCCACTCTGAACTGGAAAAACATATTTTATACAACTAAATCATACTAATTATGATTAATTTTTCTGTCCTTACCACATAATGTTACAAATCAACAGATGATCTAGAACACCCTCCAACCACCAGCAGAATACTTCCATTTTCTCATCTGACCCATACAACAAGAAAATTATTTCAATGGCTATTAACTAAGCTCTTCCAGGGATAATACATAGCTAGGGCCACTCTAAATACATAGACGAGGTATTAATCCAAATATAATGCCTACCTTTTAGCTGTGTAGTTTGAGTCTCTCATGGAACACTGGTGTGAAAGTCTGATGGACAGTTTAACTTGATACATAAGGGACACATTATTTGGCAGTTTTATTGAGAGCCAGAATTATCTTTAAAATAACGTTTAAATCAGTGTAAGCTGTTTTTTAGTCTCCAAATTTATTCTCATTTTTTTCTTTAACTAATTTAATACTTTGTATTTTAGCTGTTATTCTGGCCAAAGAAAAAGTTTTTACATTGTTAGCATACCATTGTTATTTCTTTTTTTTTTTAATTTAAGGATTCCTTCCTCTTCTACCTTGGCTCCTCTAAAGGCAAAAGTTGAGTGTCATTAAACTTCCTTTCTTTTTTTTTTTAACGTATATTTATTTTTGAGAGAGAGAGAAAAGGAAAGAGGAATTTCATTAAGCTTCTTATCCTTAGGATAATAATGGGTTTTTAAAGGAATACAAAGAGAAGGAGCCTCTAAGAATTGAACAATTTATTTGTCTTAAATTATGGCAAAAAAATTTTTTTTTCTTTATTTTTGAGACAGAGACAGAGCACGAGTGGGGGAGGGGCAGAGAGAGAGAGAGAGAGACAGAATCTGAAACAGGCTCCAGGCTCTGAGCTGTCAGCACAGAACCCAGTGGGGGGCTCGAACCCACAAACTGTGAGATCATTACCTAAACAGAAGTCGGACACTCTTACAGAGCTACCCAGGCGCCCCACAAAATTTTGAAAGTTTAAAGTTTTGTGTGTATGTACATTCTCTGATGGTAGAAAATTGTTTATAAACATAATGAATTTGAGCCATAAGTAGACCTACATAAATGTTTTATGCTTTTCTGTTATTTTTGGAGGTCTTGTTAACTATATTCCAGTATATTGCAGAATAAGCCTCCCAGCAGTAACACAAGAATGAAGAATTAATATGTAGACGTTCACCCACAAATAACATGATTATCACTTTATAAGTACAATTAGAGAATTTATTTTTAAAATACGAAATTCAAACTAATTCTGATGTTTAAAAGTAGAATAACTTTTGATTTTAGGTAGCAGTGATGGTTCTGAACTAAGTGAAGAAACCTCATGGCCTGCTTTTGAGAGGTAAGAAAAATTGTCCATTTGAACTGCTTGGAGCTTAGTTGGTCTTTCTTAAAAGATCATAAACATCTTAACACCTAAAATTTGTTACATATCTGTAAGGGACTCTTTATAAGCTTCCAACTGGTGGTAGAATTAGAAGTTGATATTTAAGTCTGGAATTGAGTCTTAGCTAATAAATACATGTTTAATTGGTGCCTTGACACATGTATTTGAATTTTAGTATCTTTAAAGTTATAATTTAAAAATAGTAATAACCAGTCATAGTAAACTTACCTACTATGTGTTTAAAGTAAAATTATTTCCTTAAATTCTTGTTCACTTAAGTAATTTTAAGGCACTTAATAGAATGGTCTACTTCATTCTCTGCTACTTTGTCAAGAGCAAAATGACTTAGTAAATTTTAAATTATACTATAAGTAAAGCAGCTTAAAATTTAAATTTAAATTGTCAGCAACTCAGAGTTTACATACAGCACAGAGATTTGTACTGAAATACTCTAGGTCTCACTCCATTCTCCTTTCTTTATGGCTTTAAGCAATAGGAGTTGTGCTCTTTCTGCAGCAAATCCTGAGCTGTATTGAGATCTTCGAGTGTAAGAGCTCCTAAAAATGTAGCCAAACAGTGCAAATAATTTATTTACTAAATGTCCATTAGGACGTTTATATTGTCTTTGGCCATTTCAGTTCTTCAATTTTCGTATTTATAAGGTGTTTGACTCTTACCAAAATAATTGCTCCCTTTTGTATATAAATTGCATCCTAAGTTTCTAAGCAGCAGAGTGTTGTGGAGATTGAGTTTGGAGTGCCGTATTAAAATTGGTAGAGTTGAGAATAGTTACCTAACTCCCTATTAGTCACTTTTTAATAGAAAATAATTTTATTGACTATACATTTGAAATTAAACTATATTGGAATTGGAAAATTTATTTTTGTTCTTGATGAAACTTCATAACGATTTCTCTCCATTATGTGATTAAGATTTTATTTGTAAATCCAACATTTCAAAGTACTCTTAAGCCTCTCTACTCTTAATTGTCAGCGTTATCAAGTCTTGTTCTTTGTTTTGGGGGATCTTACTTTGTTTTTTGTACACTGTTTCTCTTCCAACTTTTACATTCAGTCTCTTCATTAGGGTTTGCCTGAAATGAGAAAAACGCCAGAGTTGCCTCTGGCATGCTGTCTGTACAAGTTATTTTAGTTCTTTCCCTCTAGGAAGAGCGTTATATGTTGATTATAAAGTGTATTGTAATCTTTAGATAAAAAATATTGATGAGAAAAACGTTTGTCAGTTTGAATGAGTTGTAGGTGAGTGAGTAACCGGGACGGTGTCGTGTTCAGTAATCTGTCCGTCCTCCTCCCAGCAGGTTGTTTCTGAAGACTGTATGTAACGGTGTTACCTTCACATCTCAAAACAGTATATTTCTTTTATGACACATGTTTTGCTTCACAGAGGTTTGCAGCTAAAAAAATCTGTACTTGCGCCAAGTTTAAATCTGTGGCTCTTGGAACATTTTGAGAGCAAATTAATGCTTCCCAGCAAGATTCAGCCATGGAATAATAAAAAGTAAATAAAGAACTAGGATGTTTAAAATATTGCTTGTAGATAATGAATTTGAAAATAGTATTCTGAATGTTAAGCATATCATTACAGAGACATCAAATATGTTTGTTGCTGCCTAAGTTACTAAAGCAGTGCTTTTTGCTTTAAATAACATTTGCCAACAGTGCTACTTTTGGCTTTTCCCAGACGAAGAAGTGTTGGTGTTTCTATGTATGTGTTTTTTTCCTTTGTTAAGTATTACATGCCTTTTTGGATATATATTAATTCAAACCATTTTAATCATTTATTGGCTTCAGCATTTATTTCAGTTGATGTGGAAATAAAATAATGCCTTTATTACTCAGCTCATCTCTTTTATTAGTTTTCTTAGATTTAATGTAAAGGATAGAGAGGAAAATAAAATGTTTAGGCCACATTAACTTTAAATTTACAGCCCACATTGTTTTTAGGTGTCTTCATAGGGACATAAAAAAATTATTTATTATAAATCCAGATACCATTTTTGAACTGGAATCCAAGAACTGGATTAGAAACAAAAGGATTTTTGAAGTCTTTTCCAGGTTTTGAAAATATTGGTAGTAAATAACCCTTTCATTATTTTAGCAGATTTATGAAAGCAAATGTATATAAAATGTATGGTATATACTAACACCTGTAAGTATTTCTAGAGTCAGTAGTAGAAGAAAACATTTTTTTTTTTTAATCTATGTTGCATGCTTAAGAAAGAGGAGCAACCACCTACTATCTTTTTGTAGAATTTAGGAAGCTATATTACGGGAAGAAATTATATTGTTCTAGGTATCAATGATTGTGTGAATAAAAGCATATGTAATATATACAATTTATAATGGAATCCAACAGGAACAGATTATACCATTCTCTCGGGCCGGTGACACGCGTGGCACGAAATGGCTATCGAAGCCACATGAAGGCCAGCAGGTACAATCCCCCTGCACCCAGGGGCCACAGAACTCCCCTCTGGTGGTGGTGATTGGCTTAACGGGCGTAATCTCACAGTGTCTCTGTTCTTTCTCAGCTAATTGGTTAATAAACTAAAAAAGTATCTAGGAAAATGTTCTTTCCTAGATTTAATCTAGAGAGAAATTTGGACTTCTCTTTCTGTTCCACTGAGCTAATTGCAAAATAATTCCAGGTTGGTAGCCTTGTAACCGCGTAGGTCTTTCCAGTGCTGCTAGTTATTGGATAAGCAATACAAAAATCCGCTTATTACACAAAGGCTACTGTCAGAGCATTTACTTTGCTAATAAGTCTCCATTCATTTTGTCTTTATTAAGAATTTTTTAGATAAACTGCAGATCTGGAATTTGGACAAGTTATTTCAGTAGATATTTATTCATTTCAACTCTCGTTTGTTCGATGGTTTATGTAGTTAAACCAGGGCTCTTTCTGCACCATATTAGCTGCAGAAGGAAATGAGAATGTTAGACTGATTGGGGGCTGGAGGTTAGGGGTAATAAGTAATCAGCCACCTCATACTACAACAAAATAGCCAACTTCAGAAGTGAACTTTATATCAATTTGGTGTCTAATTTCTTTATGTATACCTCCCTGAATATAAATAGCTCTAACATGAAATTTCTAGTGGTCTCTAGGTTTTTAAGTCACTTTGAAGACACCTAAATAATCATAAAGGGATAAACTGGCAAACTTTACAGTTTTCTTCTGTGTTGTAGGAATTCTGCAGATCATGTCAGATTACCAGAGAACAGATTAAGTTATTCTTGTTTTAAATGTAGGACCTTAAGTCCATTGGGAAGAGATATATTTAAATGTTTGGTTATTTTGTGATAGTTTTCTTAAGATTTTTGAAAAGGAAATCTTGAGTTTTGGAGTTATTCCTTCCTTAGAAAGCTGTTGGGCTATAAGGCTATAATCAAACACGCATTGACAGCGATTAAATGTCATTAAAATTTATTGCAGTACGCTAGTTTTTTAAATATGTTGTTATGGCCTGTATTACTTCTCTCACCTATTTTAGAATTAAATTAAGCATGGGTTTTCTTTTTCCTTTCCTCCTCTTTTTGAGCTTCTGCTATTTTTATTTAGAGCTTTGTATGCTTAAACACTTAACAAAAAGAATCCTCATCTTTCCTACCAGGACTTAGGTAGGAAATTTCTAATGGGGAGAAAAGTTTACAGCAGTGATGCAATGTGGCATGTTAAGAAGAAGTCTTAAAACCTTAATTTAATCTTCACTGAAGCAAATTGCTCTATTCTGTCTAAATTATACTTGTTCAAGTATGTCATAAAGTGTGTGTTTTAACCATCTGCTGACTTTAATAACTTCCTGATTAAGCTTTTTGTAACAGTGTATAAATTTCAGATCAGTAAACTTTATCATTGTCAGTGTCTTCTTGTACTGAACACAGTAACAAAGTTTTAAAATGAAGAGTAATTACATTTCATTTAAGTACCTACTTTGTAACTACTGTACACAAAAGCTCTTACACTTTCTTTTTTCATTCCTTTGTTCTAGTTCTGCAGAATCAGAAGATTTGGCAGTACATTTATATCCAGGAGCTGTTACTATTCAAGGTGTTCTCAGAAGAAAAACTTTGTTAAAAGAAGGCAAAAAGCCTACAGTAAGATCTTATTACATTATATTTTAACACACCTCTAAAAATATGCAAATGTATATAGGGCCCTAAAAAATATGAAGACAGTTGAAATAAAACCAGATACGTAGTTCACTTGAAATAATTTAAAACACACATTTGCCTCACCGTGTTTCTTAATTTAGACTTCAGTTGAATCATTCACTTAGGGTGTTTATATCAAGGTGCTCCTGTTCCCTCAGTCCCCTAATGTAGTTCTTACATGAAACCATTTCTCAGGGAAACGAAAATATATGCTGTTATGAAGTATTTTAGTAATAAGTTGAGGAAAAGTAAAGAATAGAGAGTAACGACCCTAAAAAATGGAATTCAGCTAATTTTGTTTTGTCCTAACTTGTTTTTTTAAATCTCTGTAATGTACTTTTGTTTTCCTTCATGAAATGAAATCCAGATATTAAATGTCCTCCAAACCATAGTTATATTTTTTAAAAAGTGATAAAAGTTTGTGGCACAAAGCCTTTTTACATAACATAGAAGTTTCTTCTTCCCCAGCAGCAGCGACTAGTTTGACTACTAAAAAAAGAAGATTTTTTTTTCCCTCAAATAACGGTATAATTTCTCTAGTTTGGAATTAAAACTTCAACATATATCCAAACGTGACACTTTTGAAGATATGAAGGCTTCTTAAAACATAAAAATGGTTTGCATCTAAGCAATCTGATTTTGCTGCCTGTGTTACAGTAAACTTCAGGCACTTGCAGTGAGGAAGCTATCGTAGGCCAGCTGGCACACGAGGAGTAGTGTGTTAGGTGAGCCGTTCCTACACTATTGTGCACCAAATGCTAGAAATAGAGCCACAAACAAGATGCCCTGTGGGGATGACAGTCCAGCGAACGTGAGCCCTGAAATAAGGTAATGAGATGGTGAATGAGAAAGTGAGGAGAGTTACCGGCCCAGTAAGGCCTCCGAGCTGTCATGTGAGTGAGGAAGGGGAGTTAGCCATGTGAGGGTCTCCAGTTCAAGGAGGCAAGAAGACCCATGTGGCTGAGGCACGGAAGGTGGAGGAGGCAAAGTCAGAACGGTTAGCATTGCTTGATGAGGTATTTGACGCAGTGTGTGAGAGAGCTTGGAAGTGAAGGTAGCATCTGGGTTTGGGGCTGAGCCGGATGGATGTTGGGGACGTTTATTGAAATAGGGAAAGTTTTTTCCAAGAGGGGGCTGGTCAGTCTTGGCTAATTTCACTTTATCCATTTAAGTGGAGATGTCAGCTTGGCTCTAAAAAGTACAGTTCAGAAGTTCAGCAGAGAGGTGGTGGCCAGAGATAGAGATTCGGGACTTGTTAGCATACAGATGGTATTTGAAGTACAGGACCGGAAGAGACAGATTATCTCTGAAGAAAGTATAGCTGGAGAAGAAAAGAAGTCTGGGGATAGAACTCTGTAGCATGTAAAGTTCTGCTCTAAGAAGAGCAGAGAGGAGAACGAAGGCACTGTTAATCAGAGAAGTGTAGCTGATAAAGTAGTTCTAGAAAGAAATGGCCAATTGTGTTGGATATTGCTAAGAGTTGACAATGACAAGAACAGAGGCTTTGGGAGCGCCTGGGTGGCTCGGTTAGTTAAGCTTCTGCCTTTTGGTTTCAGCTCAGGTCATGATCTCACAGCTTTGTGGGTTCAAGCCCCGCATTGGACTCTTCTGTGCGAGCAGTGCAGAGCTTCCTAGGGATTCTCTTTCTCCCTCTCTTGCTGCCCTTCCCTCACTCACGCTGTTCACTTCTCTGTCAAAATAAATAAACTTTTAAAAATTAGGAAAAAATAGAACAGAGGCTTTGATAAAATGTCCGTGATCAGTGACCTTGACAGCTGCAGCCTAACTGAAAGTAAGTGGAAGAGAAAATAGGCAAGATAGAAGTAGAGTCAGGAATTAGAGACACCTTGCAAGAAGTTACAGGAGCAGAGAACTTGGGTGCTCTCTGGTGGGGCAGGGAATGGGACAGTGGAAGGGCTTTCAAAGATGAGAATGCTATTAAGCCTCATCTGTGTCATGATGGTAGAGGGAGAGAAATCAAAATACACTGGCGAGGGAGTGAATTACAAGGGCAGATTTCTTGGGGAAATGAGAGTAGGAAGCTAGGGTGTGAAAAGAGTGGAATTTCTCCTTTGATAGAAGCAGCGTTAACTGTTCTGTTGTAGCAGGAAGAAAGGCTGAGTATGTGGGTTTACAAACAGGTGGTTAGATGGAACTGGCCTGGGAAAATGAGGCAGTCCTCACTAGATTTCAGCTCGTTTCCTCTGGGAAGTGTGCAGTGCTGTAGTGAGAGGGTGGAGTAGTACAGATTTTAAGACAAGGAATGAAATGGTTGTCTCTGGAGAGAAAGAGTGTAATGACTTGATGGGATAAGAGTGAAGTGCTGTCGATTTCTATTTGAGATTGCTGGTTATCATTTTATCAGTTGGCACAATTATGTGATTTCTTCAACAATATTCGGTTATTGTAATGTGCCAAGTAATCAGATGGTTCGATTGAAAAAGGGCTCGGGCTATGTCAGGAGAGGGGATAGTGAGATGCAGGTATTTGGAAGGGAACGGATATATGCTAGACCATGTGGTACTGGCTGCATATGGAGAGGGGGATGGAGGGGACAGGGCAGGGAGGCAGTGGCAACACTAGATAGTGGTAAAAAAGTGGTATGATTTTTTGATGAAACCTAAGTAGTAGTGGGGCGCCTGGGTGGCTCAGTCGGTTAAGCATGCGACTTCCGCTCAGGTCATGATCTCACGGTTCAGGAGTTCAAGCCCTCATCAGTCTCACTGCTGTCAGCCTGTCAGCACGGGGCCTACGTTGGATCCTCTGTCCCTCTCTGCCTTCCCCGCTTCCATTCTCTCTCTCCACTTACTCAATAGACAAACAAACAAACAAGAAAGTAGTAGTAGAGTATATTCAGTGAAAGTGACAGGAATGTTGGAGATACAGATTTCAGAAGTGATGCAACTCTTTACGATTCAGCCAAGGTGACTGGAGTGGTGTGGAGCTAGTGGTCATCAGCCCTAAGAAAGTAAAGAAACTGAGAAGCCGGTAGTAGTATATTTATGTGTTTGTCTTTGCAGGTAGCATCATGGACAAAGTATTGGGCAGCTTTGTGTGGGACACAACTTTTTTACTATGCTGCCAAATCTCTAAAAGCTACAGAAAGAAAACATGTAAGTATTCCTCCTCTAAACTGGTTTAAGCTAAACTAAAATTCCTCCTCTTTGTGATTGTAAAGAAAGTAGTCTCAATGGAATGTGGCAAGTTGGGTTTTTCCCACATTCTAATCCAGAAGTTCTTCCATCTATTACTTGTGTAAGTGATGTGGTAGAATGATTTTTTTTAGGAATGCCATTCCAAAGAAAGTCTTGGAATACCTTCCATGTTTAGAATAAATTTCTATTTTTCCACTGAAAGATCAAAAGTGCACATTACCCATATCTATCTTGGCATCAAAACCTTCCCACGCCTGCTTTTCTTATTCAGAAAATAATTTGAAAATTATTGCTTTGGAGTCTCAGTTCATAATATGTAAAATGTGAAAAGTGGGGACCTTTATCTCATGTTCCTACCACCTTGATCTCTGATGGGGTGACTTTTCCCAGCAGTGAAGAGGGACGGCGGTTCCTGTGCTTGCTGCAGTCCACTGTCTTGTGTTGCATATTACTTAGAAGCCTCTCAGTGCTCTTTTCTCCAAATGTGAAGTCTTGCTATAAATCTTTTTTGCATGCTGTTTTGTTTTTACATGCTAGTGATACGCTCTTTGAAAGGAAGAAGTTTTCCATGTTGCATTAATCAAATCCCCTTGAGGAGAATTTTATTTCTAAGTCATGTATCTTGTGGGGAAATTAAGTGGTTTATCATACTGAGGTAAAGCCACTAAAAAAAAGATCAAGTCCTTTTACTACATATAAATTACCCGACATTGCATAATTCAGAGAAGCTCTTCTTTATTCTTACAGTTTGAGATTTTTGCAATCAAACCAGAGGTGTGGAAGAGTATATTTTTGGTCTAAATGAATGATGTAAGTGCCTGATCACTTCCTTTCCTTATTAGCCACACCCACACCTGTTAGTGCCCTGCTCTGCCTTCGGACTTACTGTACACGTTTCCTTAAACAGTGTTGCTTTATTTTTTTAACTGTGCCTGAATGGAATCATAAATTTTAAAGTTTTGGCTTTTTTGCCCACTGTTGTCTTATAATTATTTACATATAGTCCTCACATTGAAATAAAGGACTGTTTTTTTGTGTTCTGGTCAAAGTGACTAAGCTCATTCATCCACCAAAGTTACATAAGCTCATTCCACCAGAACATTTTGCAGAGTAATTGCTATCTATCCTCAAAGGGAGGAAAAAAGGTTGCTGTAGCTAAATTAAATCCTTTATCCTCAGATATAGTTAACTCTTCCCATAGCCACTGGGAGATGCTTGCCTCAGTTTCACTTAGTTGATGATTATAAAGTAGCTGTTCAAAATGAAATGTTTTTTGTTTTTTCCTAACTCTGATTAGAAAGAAGCCAAATGAAATTAGAGCATAGTGGCCTGTGAGAAAATCACATTGAGTGCCTGGGAAGTGAACTATATTCCTAACCTTTTTAAATGAAAACTGTTAAGATTAAAGAAGGTATTATTAGAACAACATAGAGTATACCAGAGACAGGGTCATGTTTCTTTTGTAGTATCAACTTTAGAAGAAATGTGGCACAGGACTAAACCCAGTGAATGAAAAACTTCAAAGTCATTTTCAAGCAAAATTAAAATATGAATTGGAAGAAAATATTGGCACTATATAAGCAATAGATAAAGGATTAAAATCTGTTCTATAAGCACAGCACCACCTATGTACTATTCTTGCCAAAAATTTAGCCTGAATCTAATCATGAAGAAACAATCAAATCCAGATTGTGGGACGTTTTACAAGAAAGCTGGCTTGGTAGTTGGAGGACTTGGTGGGGGAGGGGCAAGAGAGCATCACAGGTTAGACTGAAGAGTCTGAGAAACAAATGCAGTGTGTTGTGTACTTTGGTTGAATCCTGGAGGTGATTTTCTTGTTTCTTTAAACTACAAAGGTCTTAATTGGGACAATTGAAGAAATTTAAATATAAACTTTATAAATGATGTGTCAGATTTCTTAGATCCTTACACTGTGGTTATACAGAAATGCATTCTTAGACTCTACATGCTGAAATATTTAGGACTCCATGTTATGATGTCTGTAGGTCAAAGAGATCAAACGAATGCACAAAATGTAGATATGTGGGTTACCACTGGCATTCTTTCCACTTCTCTGTAGTTTCAACCTTTCAAAATTAAAAGCTTGGAGGGGGAAAAAAGTCACTAATGAAAATATGCCGGTACATATATGTCTATAAATGCTGAGGGAAGAAATCGGGAAGCCTACAAACCTATATTTTATTACTCTCTATACATTTTTTCCCCTACAAGAAACAGAATAGGCTTGGCAGGGTAGAGTAACTGGAGAGAGGGAAGAGGACTCCAATTATTTCTATATTTTTGAATGTTTTAAAATGAAAACACTCACTGTAAAAATATTTTTAATGGAAGTTTATTCATTGTGAAGAAATTTCTGCAGGTATGTTTGAACCTATCTCTGTGTGGTACAGAATGAATAAATATTGTTCAGTTAGTTAATTTTTAAAAACCAAGACTGCACCTGAAAAGAAATCTGTGACAAAACTAAAGACCTTCTTCAACTCAGAATAAAACAGAAGGAGAAAAAAGGAGAAAGAAGAGATAAATAGAAGATGAAATACAAATGGCTAATAAACATGAAAGGATGATCGACCTCATTAGCTATCAAAAGTGCAGATTAAAAAGATGCCCTTTTTTACTTTTAGGCAAAAAAGTTTAAAGAGTGGACAATACAGCATTGGGTATGACGTAGGGAAATACGGACTGTTATTTGCAGAAATTTAAATTGGTATTGTTTTTCTGGTGGGCAGACCTAGTCAGTATTTAACTTAATTATAACCAGCGATTCCTTATCTGAGAATGTGGCCTGTGGAAATCCTTGAACATGTGCACAAAGATACCTATGGAAGAATATTCCCATGGTGCTTATAATAGCAGAAAATACTCGCTTAAAATACATATCACTAAGGAAATACTGACAAGTGAAAACCACAAGTCAGAGTATACATGTGCCCCCATTAGTACAGATGACCCTTGAACAGCTAGGTTAGAACACCTACCCTGGGTCCCTCCCATCCCCGTGCAGTTGAAAATCCAGCTCTCTACAAATTAGCTCCCAACAGCCTGCTGTTGATCAGAAGCTTTACCAATAACATAAAGAGCTTATCGACATATTTTGTATATTGTATGTGTTATATGATGTTTTCTTACAATAAAGGAAGGTAGGGGAGAAATGTTAATAAAATCATAAGGAAAAAAATACACTTACTCTGTTTATCCAAAAACTGCATATAAGTGGACCTGTGCAGTTCAAACCTATGTTCAAGGGTCAGCTGTATATAAAAACCCAACAGCATCAAAAAAAAGTCTTTGTTGGTGCCTGGGTGGCTGATTGGGTTAAGCATCTGACTTTGGCTCAGGCCATGATCTCACTGCTTGTGAATTCGAGCCCCACATCGGGCTCTGTGCTGACAGCTCAGAGCCTGGAGCCTGCTTCAGATTCTGTGTCCCTCTCTGTCTCTGACTCTCTGTCTGTCTCTCTCCCTCAAAAATAAACATTAAAAAAATAAAGTCTTTGGTGTAAATGCATAGACAAGGGTCCAGAGGACTCACCCTGAATGGAGATGAATTTTGGAAAGTGGGATGGGATTCAGCTAGTGGTCAAGGGGCACTTGTACCCTTATATGCTTTGGCCCTCTATGCAAAGAGACTTCTATTGCTTGAGGTACTTTTTTTTTTTTTTTTCCTTTTTAGGGTTAGGAAAAGAACATTGGAAAATCATGCTGTCTGCATTGACATAAATTATAAGCTGTCAAATCAGCAGTTCTGGAGTACTGCCAATTTCATTCTTGATAGTATTAGAACTTTGTAATTAGTTTTCATTTTTGTAGCACCCATGTTACAAGTAATGTGCTATGTTCATACTTTTGCCCATTACTTTAAAATTGTGAAACATATACAAAAGAAGATGTGTGGTATATATGTACATTTAAAGAGTAATAAAGTGAATGCCTTTAAAACTCTCCACCCAGCGTAAGAAACAGTCTTCGTGAAACCATCCACATCTTCCCAGAGAGCATCTTTTTCCTTCCTTCCAGCCTGTCACTGTTCTGAATTTACATTAATTATTGCTTTTTTTTTTTTTACCGTATAGATTTCCTTAACACATTGTTTCATTTTTTAACTATACCTGAATGGATTCACATATATAGTCTGAAGCGCTACCTTTTCTGCTTAATCCTATATTGTTGAGATTCATCCCTGTTGATGCATATAGCTGTACTTGTTTCTTTCCCAATTGAATAGTATAAATCCACAAAATGTATGCATCATTCTACTGTTGATAGGTATTTAGTTTCCAGTTTTCTGCTGTATCTAGCAGTGCCACTGTGAATATTTTTGTGCATATATTCTCTAGCAATACAGATGTTCAGCTTGACAAGAAAATGCCAAATTGCTTTACACACTCACCAGTAGCAGAGTGCGTTTGAGGCTCCTCATTGTTACACACCTTCACCATACTTGTCGTTACCAGTCTTTTAAATTTTGGCTAATCTAGCAAATATGAAATGGCACATCATGATTTTAATTTATATACCCCTGATTGCTTAATGAGTTTTGACATTTTTGTGCAGAATATCTGAGTAAATATTTTGCCTATTAAGTGATATGTTTTCTAGTGAATTGGTAAAAGTTCTTTTATATATTCTGGATACTGATTTATTAGTAGTTATGTGTTGCAAATATCTTCTACCAGTTTGACTTGTTTTTCAAATTTTGTGATGTCTTTTAATGGAGAGTTCTTAATTTTGAAATAATAAAATTTATCTTTCCCTTTATGGGTAGTATCTGAGTCATGTTTTAAACATTCTTCTCTAACCTGGGATCATTAAGATATTCTCCTGTGTTTACTACTAATTTAGTTTTGCATTTTGCTTTAAAATCATTGATCTACCTGGAGTCAGAGACGTGTGTGCGTGTGCACACACCCGCAAAGGAAGGAAGGAGAGAGAAAGATGTGATGTGAAATAGGCATTCGTCTTCATGATTTTTCTACATAGATAAACAATTTTCCTGGCATCAATTATTGAACAGTTCATTCTTCTTCACCAGCCTGCAGAGCCCACTCTTGTCATATAAATTTGTATCTCTACGCCCATATTGCTCACTTCCACTTCCATTGTCCTGTCCCTTCCTGTCCCAGTAGCCTTGGTCTCAAATAATATAGCTTTATGAGTCTTGATGTTTATCAGGCCAGGTCCTACCTAATTGTCCTCAGAAGTATATTGGCTATTTCTCCTCCTTTGCTCTTGCGCATAAATTTTAGAATCAGCTTATCAAGTTCCATGTAAAACACTATTGAAATTTTTATTGAAATGACACTAAATCTATAGATCAGTTCAGGGAGAATTGATATCTATACAGATCACACCTTTTTCTTCGTCTCATGGTATTTCTTTATTGATTTATGGCTTCTTGAATACTTTTTGAACTGTTCTACTTTCCTGTATGCCTTGTTACATGTATTGCTAGGTATCTTTCTTATAAATGACTATTAAATTTCTCGTGTATAGAATTACAGTTGCCTTTCATACTGATCTTTTCCAAACATTCTTGCTAATCATGCTTATCAGTTTACTAGATTTGAGTGTATTTTATGTGTTAATATTATCACCTGTGAGTAATGGCAGTTTTATTACTTCCTTACTCTTACACCTTTTATTTCCTCTTTGTTGTTATGCTGTTGTGCTGACTAGGTCATCAAATTCTGTGTTGAGTAGAAGTAGCAGTGGTGGGCATCCTTGTCTTGATACTGATTTTGAAATATTTTTAGACTTTTACCCTTGAGAGTGTATATTGCAGGGTTTTGATTTGGGGCTTTTTTTTCTCTTGCCTGCTTTCTTTTGGTTTGGGTTTTAAGCAGGGTTTGTTTGTTTGCTTGGTGGGTACTCTTCTTTGAATTAGAAAGTTCCATTCTACTCCTCCTATTACAAGCATGCATTCTATTTACCAAATGCTTTTATTTTTCATCAACTGAGTTGAGCATATTTTTTCTTTTTTAACCTGTTAATATGGTGATATATTTTAGTAATTTTTCTAGAAATTAAAAAAAATTTTCTAAAGTTGAACTAATCTTACTTCCTTGAAAAAAACCCAACTTAGTTGCATTATTTGGTTTCTAACATTAAACCAACCTCACATTCCTCAGCTAAATCCAGTTTGGCCATCATCTGTCAGCTTTTTTATACGCTAATATTTAATATTTTTTCATTTGTGTTCATGAATGAGATTAACCTAATTTTCTGTTCTTTTATAACAACTCTTTTTTTATTACATTTATTTCACTTTATGTATAACTTTAAAAACAAGAATAGAAAAGTAGCAAGCATACCAAGAATACCTTTTTTTGAGAAATACAAGTAAGAATATATTATTAAGAATTGTCTGACAGCACTGCTGACTTAGTAACAGGTTTAAGATAACACCCCCATTAAATTGTACACGTTAAATTTACACAGTTGTGTGTTAATTACATCTCAGTAAAGCTGGGTGAGAAAAGATAACAGCTTGATTAAAATGCAGGTGTGTTTGCTATAAGCAAGGGGTGAATGGTAACATAGTAAGGAACAGAAAAAAACAACATAGGTGAATTTATCAAACCCAGCAAAAGGTCATGCTTTTTGGTAATTGAGACTCAGACAGTTAGATTATGATAAAGAGTTGAAACTAGGAAGGATCTGGAAATTACGAGACTACCTAAAGAGGGCATGTCTAAATGGAATTGAGTAGGAAGTAAAAGGCTGTGAGCAGATGACCAACATGGAATTACAAAACTTAATTCTCACTGGGAGCAACTGAAAATATGCTCACTCTTAATTTTTGTTTAGGATGAGCCATAAAGTTTGTGTTTCCATTAATTATCTTTTTATCTCTCAGTTCAAATCAACATCAAATAAGAACGTATCTGTGGTAGGATGGATGGTGATGATGGCTGATGACCCAGAGCATCCAGATCTCTTCTTGCTGACTGACTCTGAGAAAGGTGAATCATTAGAATAACTCACTTTGAAGGTACTGCGCACACATAACTTTCAGCTGGCCAAAACCTAGTTTAAGTGGAATACTTGACCAGGAACGTGTTTGTATACTTTTATGTCTTGGGAAATATTTCTGACACTTAATGTATAGTAATGATGCCGGTATTTTTTGATATCAGTATCTATTATAAGCATATTTTCTTTGCTGCATGGGCATAAGCTTGAAATTAAAAGCCCAAGAAATCCCTAGAGAGGTAAGAACCAGGCAGGGAAGAGGAGAGGGAATTGGAGAATCTATAAGCCATTAAGTTTATTGGTTATTTGACTCCTGTCACTTTCCAAATAAGTATGATGTAGAATACTTTGCTTACAAGTAAAGAGAGACTTACAGATGAAATGATTGGCTGTTGATCATAGGAGTTTTGTAAGTGGATAGAGAAGTAGGACAGTGGGCCGGTTCGAATCAGATCCCACCTCCTGACCCCGGTGCATCTTTAAGTGGAGAGCACGCACACAGGCCGCAGAACAGGCCCTTCCTGCCGGGATTGCTGCACCTCCTTCCTAACAATTGCCACTGTGGAGGAACCCCTCAGAGGACGCCAAACGGGAAGTTCTTTCATACCTGCCCGGAAATCTTCTCTCACAGCAACCCACCACTGAAATCATCCTCACTGACTGTGCAGTTAAATTCTGATGTCTATTTATTCAGAATGTATTTTCTATCAACAGACATTCTGCTTTTAGGATATTATAGTATTTTAAGTGAAAACTCCAAATATGTTAGATACAGAAAAAAATAATAGTAATAAAATGTCTTGTTTGAGATGAAATAGATTGATTTATAGTTAGGCCTCTCTAACATTCATAATTCAAAGTCCCTGCCCCTGCCCCAGTCCCCAAATCCCAAAGACATTGTTCATAAGATTACGTTTTAAGGAGATCATTTTCATTGGGTTTACTTAACAAATTCTTTATTTTCTTTCAATTCCCTTAGTGTCCTTGATAGAACTATTTCCAAGTAGCCAAGGCTTCTGTGACATCGATACTAATGGCCTTTTTGGGAGGAGGAGAAAGTAGATAAATGGCAGCTATGACCAGCTTAATTGTACATGTGTCTTCTATTCAGATTGATCTAACATGTGCATCTGAGTTTAGCAAGTAAAACAGCGTTATTTAACATTAAACATTTGATGAGGAAAAGCTGTTGCTTCTGAAAGTGAAAAAGTCCTTTGAGTGTTCAAGTCTCAAAGGCAAGCTCTATCATGGCTAAATAAAGGTCAGGCTCTTAGGCCATCAAATTCAATTATAAAGGAAAGAGCAGAATTCAGTATGAATTGGGAAATAAAAAGAACTTACTTAGGTCAATGAAAAAAGAGAATAAAGCTCAACTTAGGGCAGCCTTTAGGACATGAATCCTTTTTTTCAGTTTATTACCTTAATACATACGATCATATATATTTATTATGTGTCAGTCTTGAATTAGTCAACATAAGTTCTAAATACACACAACATGGATGAATTCCTAATTTTCTAAAAGAGGAAAATGTGGCTTTTCATATTTTCCCAGCAAGCCCACAGTAGACCTGGAAATCTGTAATAATTTTGGCAACTATAACAGAAAAGTAAGAGCATGGTTGATATAGATGTTAGGTAATTAATCCCTAACCACATTAAATACATGATGTTTAAGTGTCAAACATGCTAAAGTGTTTTCCCTGTAAAATTTTAATATTAACAGATTCTTCATTCTCTGTCACGCACAGAAATCTATAGGAGCCAAACAATTCTTTTATTTAGGTACACTTTAAAGAGCACTTAAGGAGACAAAAATACTTCTCTACCAATTCATAAAAAGCAAAATAATGGCTGTTGGAATAAACGATAGCATGTAAATGTAACATAGAGAACTCTTTATTTGTGTCAGAAAATCAGGTGTTAGAGGCACAGAATTTTGAAACAAAATTCTAGTCATGTTTTAGTTCTTTGGTATCTGCCCGAATATTTTATGTCAGAGTCCTTAAAATTTTGCTGTTTTCCCCCTTGTTTTTGGTAATTTTAGGCAATTCCTACAAGTTTCAAGCTGGCAACAGAATGAACGCGATGCTGTGGTTCAAGCATTTGAGTGCAGCCTGCCAGAGCGACAGACAGCAGGTGAGCTCCTCGCCTCCATCCTCACAGTGGGGTCCTGTGTTTAACAAGTTCCAAAGGGAAGTAAGTAGATTACAGTTTCATGAATGAAGAGGGAAACAGTATTGTTTTTATTCTTACGGTCAGTGGTCAGCAAGATAGGAAGGAAGTCCACATTTTAGTGAGGAGATGGTCAATAAAAAGCGAACAAAGGGGCGCCTGGGTGGCTCAGGCAGTTAAGTGTCTGACTCTTGATTTCGGCTCAGGTCCTGATCTCACAAACCAGGTTGGCCTCCATGCCGACAATGCAGAGCCTGCCCAGGATTCTCTCTTCTCTCTTTCTGCTCTTTTCTCTTTTTGCTCTACTTGCCCAGTGCTCCTCCCAACAAGTGCCCCCCTTCATGCCCGTCCCTCACCCAACACCCTGCCAGCAATCCTCTTTGTTCTCTGTGTTTAAGTTTCTTATGGTTTGTCTCCCTCTCTGTTTTTATCTTATGTTTGCTTCCCTTCCCCTATGTTCATCTGTTTTGTTTCTTAAATTCCACATATGAGTAAGATATGCTGTCTTTCTCTAATTTCGCTTAGCATAATACATTCTGGTTCCATCCATGTCATTGCAAATGGCAAGATTTCGTTGTTTTTTAATATATATATACGTATATATATATATACACACACACACACACACGCATATATATACCACATCTCCTTTATACATTCATTAGTCAATGGACATGTGGGTTCTTTCCATACTTTGGCTATTGTCCATAGCGCTGCTATAAACATTGCGGTGCATGTGCCCCTTTGAATCAGCATTCCTGTATTTTTTGGATAAATACCTAGTAGTGCAATTGCTGGGTCGTAGGGTAGTTCTAGTTTTAATTTTTTGAGGAACCTCCATACTGTTTACCAGAGGGGCCGCACTAGTTTGCATTCCCACCAGTGCAGAAGGATTCCTCTTTTTCCACATCCCTGCTAACACCTGTTGTTGTCTGTTGTTAATTTTATTTTTTTATTTTTTTTTAAATTTTATTTATTTTTTTAAATGTTTTAAAAATATTTATTTATGAGAGAGAGAGAACGTGAGCAGGGAGGAGCAGAGCATGACAGAGGCACAGAAGCAGGCTCCAGGCACTGAGCTGTCAGCACAGAGTCCGACACGGGGCTCAAACCCACAAACCATGAGAGCATGACCTAAGCCAAAGTTGGAAGTTTAACCAACTGAGCCACCCAGGCACCCCCTGAGTTGTTAATTTTATTAAACAAATTTTTTAATGTCTTATTTATTTTTGAGAGAGGGCAAGACAGACTGTGAGCAGGGGAGGGGCAGAGAGAGAGGGAGACACAGAATCTGAAGCAGCTTCCTAATTTTGAGCTGTCAGAACAGATGCTGATGTGGGGGCTCAAACTCACAAACTGAGATCGTGATCTGAGCCGAACTCAATGAACTGAGCCACCCAGGTGCTCCCCTGAATTGTTAATTTTAGCCATTCTGACAGGTCTGAGGTGTGAGGGGGTATCTCACTGTGGTTTTGATTTGCATTTCCCTGATCATGAGTGATGTGAAGCATCTTTTGATGTGTCTGTTGGCCATCTGGATGTCTTCTTTGGAAAGTTTCTATTTATGTCTTTTGCCTGTTTCTTCACTGGATTATTTGTTTTTTGGGTGTCAAGTTTGATAAATTCTTAGGTTTTGGATACTAACCCTTTATCTGATATGTCATTTGCAAATATCTTCTCCACTTCTGTCTGTTGCCTTTTAGTTTTATTGATTGTTTCCTTTGCTGTGCAGAAGCTTTTTATCATGTTGAGGTTCCAATAGTTCATATTTGCTTTTGTTTCCCTTGCCTCTGGAGACATGTCAAGTAAGAAGTTGCTGCGGCCGAGGTCAAAGAGATTGTTGCCTGTTTTCTTTTCTAGGATTTTGATGGCTTCCTGTCTTAAATTTAGGTCCTTCATCCATTTTTAGTTTTTTTGTGTGTGTATGGTCTAAGAAGGTGGTCCAATTTTCCCAACATCATTTGCTGAAGAGACTTTTTTTCCATAAAATATTCTTTCCTGCTTTGTCAAAGATTAGGTGGTCATACGTTTGTGGGTCCATTTCTGGGCTCTCTATTCGGTTCCATTGATCTGTGTGTCTGTTTTTGTGCCAGTACCACACTGTCTCAATGATTACAGCTTTGTAATACAGCTTTAAGTCCAGAATTGTGATGCCTCCAGCTTTGGTTTTCTCTTTCTGGATTGCTTTGGCTATTCAGTGTCTTTTCTCTGGTTCCTACAGAGAAAATTCTACAAATTTTAGAATTGTTTGTTCTAGCCCTGTGAAGAACGCTGCTGTTATTTTGATAGGGATGATTGAATTGAATATGTAGATAGTTTTGGGTAGCATTCACATTTTAACAATATTTGTTCATCCATTCTATGAGCGTGAGAAGTTTTTTTCATTTTTTAGTGTCTTCTTCAATTTCTTTCATAAGCTTTCTGTCATTTTCAGTGTATAGATTTTTCGCCTCTTTGGTTAGGTTTATTCCTAGGTGTTTTATGGCTTTTGGTACAATTGTGAATAAGATCAATTCCTTGATTTCTCTTTCTGCTGCTTCATTATTGGTGTATAGAAATGCAACTAATTTCTGTACATTGATTTTATGTCCTGTGACTTCTCTGAATTCATGTATCAGTTCCTAGCAGTTTTTTGGTGGAATCTTGGGTTTTCCAAATAGAATATCATGTCATCTGCGAAGAATGAAAGTTTGACTTCCTCCTTTCTAATTTTGATGCTTTTTCTTTCTTTGTGCTATCTGATTACTGAGGCTATGACTTCCAACACTATGTTGAATAACAGCCATGAGAGTGGACATCTTTGTCATGTTCCTGACCTTAGGGAGAAATCTCTCAGTTTTTCTCCATTGAGGATATTAGCTGTGGGTCTTTTATATATGGCCTTTATGATTTTGAGAGTATGTTCCTTCTATTTTCTTGACAGTTTTTATCAAGAAGGAATGCTATATTTAGGCACAACTTTAAATAAGAATGAGGGGCACCTGGGCGGCTCAGTCGGTTAAGCATCCAGCTTTGGCTTGGGTCATGATCTTGCAGATCATGAGTTCCAGCCCCCCATCAGGCTCCATGCTGACAGCTCAGAACCTGGAGCCTGCTTCATATTTTGTGTCTCCCCCTCTCTCTGCCCCTCCCCTGCTCACTCTCGGTCTTTCTCTCTCTCAAATATAAATAAACATTTTAAAAGCTTAATAAAGAAATAAGAGTGAGCACAGAGCTCTCCCTGAAGACATTGCCATGAATGACAAGAAGGAGCAACCATGCAAAGATTAAGGGGAACAGAGGTCTGGTAGAGGGAAGAGAAAGTTCAAAGTTCCTGAAACTGGAATGAGCTTACGGTGTTCAAAATAGGCAAATGAGGCCATGTTGGTAGAATATAGTGAGATGCAAAGGAATATAGTGTCAGAGAGGGTAAAATTTAGATGGCACTTTAATAAAAATTATTCTCATTCTTCTTTATTCTGTTGACTTGGTATGGATTCCTATGGCTGCAGTGAAACCCAAAAAAACCTGATGGATTTGTTTGTTTTTATTTTACTGAAACAAAAATGTTCTAATTCAGAGGCTTTTGCTGCAAAGGAAAATGAAGCCACGGTGTTGTTTTCCCCAAACCCTGCTCCAGATGTAAAGTTGAACCATGAATTGGTGGAGCAGACATGAAATAAACATAGCTGCAGTTATGGAAATATGTGTAGATTTTTCATACACCAGTTTTTAGTTGAAGACTATTGCCTTAAGGTACTGAAATTCAGAAGTGTTATCTGTAAATTTTGAATAATATAATACACTATACATAAGTTTATATCATTTATAAAAGTATTTTTTACCCTATGCTTTCAGGGCCTAAGTTATTACTCCTTTCTTGATAAAGGAAGAAACTAAGTCTCAGACATGCTTAGTGACCTGCACAGGGTCAAACAAGTAAATACCTCTATCCTTTAGAACGATTCTTGCTAAATATTGTTAGAATAGGCCTTTTTCTCTTAGAGTTTTCATTTTAGATATTTATAGGAAAGACTAAGAGCAGTTTTTTGGTATCATTTTTAGCACCCTCTGTTAAGGACAGGAAATACCCTAGAACAAAGATAACTTTCTTGCCTCTGTCAGGTTAGTGTCTCGGACAGAATGAAAGAAACAGACCTCATTTTGCCTGGACTAAGCTTATGTGCAACTCAACTTGCATTCCTTAAATGTGCTTAAGGTATTAAGTGTCATTTTTTTTTTAACCTCAGATTTCAAGATTAATCTAGAAAGTTGTATTCATACCAACATAAAGGTTCAATTTCTTTTACTATATTAGTGGAACTTACAGATAAAAAAAAAGTCAACCAAATGTGTATAAATGGGTTTTATTGATTTGTCTCTATACTTGGAAGAATTGGAATAGTAGCAAGTGTATAAATAGAAGCTGTGAAATTTGAAAATTTTTAAAAGACGACTCTGATTCACTCAAATACAACACCTTAAATCACATTCAAGGAACTTAGGAGGAAATGAACTTATGCCTTATTTAAATATGGGTTTCTTGGGGCGCCTGGGTGGCTCAGTTGGTTAGGTGTCCAACTTCAGCTCAGGTCATGATCATACGGTTCATGGGTTCAAGCCCCGCATCGGGCTCTGTGCTGATAGCTAGCTCAGAGCCTGGAACCTGCTTCCGATTCTGTATCTCCTTCTCTATCTGACCCTCCCCTGCTCACACTGTGTCTGTCCCTCTCTCTCTCTCTCTCTCTCTCTCAGAAATAAATAAAACATTTTAAAAAAAGAAAATAAATAGAGGTTTCTTATCAGACCTGAGAATTCATACTTTAAGCACTTTTGAGCATTTGTATTGTAATTTTTTTTAAGTTTATTTATTTATTTTGAGATAGAAACACCACAAGCCAGGGGAGGGACAGAGAGAGAGAAGAGAGAATCACAAACAGGCTCTGTACTATCAACGCAAAGCTCAATGTAGGGCTCTAACTCATGAACCGTGAAATCATGACCTAGGCCAAAATCAAGAGTAGGGCACTTAACCAACTGAGCCAGCCCAAGTGCCCCTGTATTGTATTTGATTTATAATTCAGTTGTGATTGTATTGTTAAATAATTTTTTCATTCCAAAGATGAGCCATATAAGAGACTCGCCCACCTTTTTTTTTTTTTTTTTTGAGTATCCTAGGTTTTCAGAAAAAGATGGCTGAAGTGTGAGAACTGTTAAGCTGTTTTAAAGGACAGAGAAATGACCACTGAAAGAGGAGTATGTCTCCCAGTACAACTTAAGAATACTGATAGAAAAGGTTAAGAGTGTTTTTTATCATGGCAAAGCCCTCTTTATCCTTGACTAGAGGACTCATCAACTGATTTTTAAAAACAATATATATTCCTATTTCAAAGAAATGTGGAATATCTCCCCACTAAAATGTGAACTTCGTGGCTTGTTGCTGATTTCTGTAAGGAATGAAATATGATTCCATCCAGTCTGTAAGCAGCAAACTATTATATGACCTGTTGATTTTTTTCAGAGTCACAAAATGTCAGATCAGAATTTATCTAACGATGAGTTTTAATCTTTCATACTTATCTTCATGATGATTTCACAAAGAAATTATAAAGAATTTATAATGTTCATTATAAAATGACCTGTGATTTTAAAATGTGCATGTAGGAATTCATGGGAATACGCATAATGAGAAAATAGATGACAAGTACATTTGTTTGAGTCTCACCCTACTTGAGCCGTACTTCTTTTCTGATTGATTTCTTCACTCAGCGAGCATCTGCTGAGCCCTCGTGTCAGACAAGAAGGACACCGTCTCCACCCTTTCTCCTGTTCCAATTTCAGTTTTTTGGAAAGAGAGTATTAACTCAGTGATTTTCTCAAAAATGTTCTAGCATATTTTATTCATTATTCATAAATGATTGCAGTACCTTCTGTCACATTCCTTCTTTAAAGAGATATTTGGGCTTACTTAAAATGATGGGAAAAGATAAGAAATGATACTCGAAAAACAACTTTTAAATACTATCAGTTCTGTAATGCTTATATTTTTAAGGTTCCTACAAACTTGATGACTTTTGAGTAAAAGCCTAAGAAAGAAGCGAGGTGAACTGTTGCCCCTAAGTAAGAGCGAGGAGCTGCTGGAGCGCCAGCTATAAACCAGTTCTGTGCCAGAAGGAGCCCAGAGGCTCCGTCTCAGCCTTGGGAATTCCGAACCAAAAAAGCACTAATTTCAGGGAATGAAGTGAGCTATTCCCAGAGAACAAATTGGAGTTACACATCAAACTGCCATGGACCACGCTTCTTTTCTCCAAACTGACCTGCAGAAACCACTGCCTTAACAGAATGAAAGGGAAACCAACATGAAACACCAAATAGTGCGTGTGACTCTTCCGGCGGTGCTGTGCTTGGGGTAGATTGTAGCTGACTTGCATTTCTTTTAACTTTGTACTAATTTTGGAGGGGGGATCGCCTTTTTTAGAAACACTTTACAAAAGAGAAACTTATTTCTTATGGGCTGTGTGAGGGGCTGGTTTTGACCTGAGGTGTGAAGACACCTGCCTGAGGAGTAGGGTGCCAGCAGCTTACCTGAAAGGCCGCTCGGCTTCCAGGAATCTGCAGCCTCCCTGGCTTTCCCACAGCGAGAGTTTAGAAACTAGACGTGTTCACAATGTGAGTTGTTGGGGTTTGTTTGGAATTGGGGGTGGGGTTTGCTTTGAATGAGGGGAGAGGTTTTCTTTAACACTAAAGTTCTGAAATTTAGTACTGTATGGGGAACCTCATTTCCTGCAGGAGGCATAAAGGCTGAGTGTTCCTATTCCAGACGCTCTTTCAAGTGGGCTCCGGAAAACATGGGTGTTTTTAACTGGGTTTAAAGTTCAACCTTCTGTTTGAATTCATTGTTGGACCACAGATCTGCTTAGGAAAGAACCATAATCCCAACCTAAACTTCTCTGAGATTTTACAATAATTACATTTTTTTCAAGTTAATTGAATTATCCCTTCTACCAGTCACTGGTGATTTTTATCATCAAGGTGATGTATTGATGTTTCATCAGAATATTTTCTCTTACAGGGTGTAATGTCTACAATGCCAGTTATTTTTTTTATTCATTTTCATTATTTTTGTTAAATAGGAGATTCAGGATCACATTTGTTTATAAGAGCTTTCACGTGTGTATGTGTATATGTATTTTATTATAAGGTGTATGAAATAATTTTAAAAGGGAAAAAGGGGAAAGATTGAGATTCTGGGAATCTTAAGTATCAAAACTTTCCTTCTCCTATAACTTTCCTTTTTTACAAAACATTTTTCTGAAAACTTAACTGTTGGTCCCTGCCATGAAACCCTTGTTTCCTCACTAGTCGATCAAGCTGTTTTGTGAGAGCTCTTCCATGCAGCAGTACATTTAATTTCCAGAATAAATGTTGAATTGCAAAAAAAAAAAAAAAAAAAAGTTCAAAGGTGAGCTGCCTTAGGGTTTTAACAAAACATGGCACTTGAACACAGGCTATGAGTGAGATGCTTTCAGCGGAGGCTCCCTGTACTTTAGCAGCGGCCCAGAGTAAGAAGTGCTTTTTGACTGACACCTTCCAGTAAACTTGTAATACTTTGGGCCGCACATAAAATGTCTCACATTTGCATTCTTAGAGAATTTTATACTTTTTTTTTAATCATAAATATTTCACTCTTGAAACTTAAATATTAAATAGAAAATATTGCCCACAGAATAATTAGCTAAAAATCTAGCCAAAGGAAAGTAGAAGAGTTTTGGGAAAGGATATGAACAGTTCACATATTTTTCTCATATAGCACAGTTAGAAATACCATTATTTCTGGTTTTGTGGAAAGTTGCATGGGCTAGAGAGGGCAAAGTGTTGCCTGTGCTGAATGAGTTTTTGGTTAATGACCTCCTGAGATTAACCCACGTTGGGTACTTAGAAAGACACCATGTGCATAGCCAGCAGTATTACTATATAGACCTTGCACATCTTTCTTTTGTTTTGCATTTTTTAAAAATTCCTTAATTTGTCTATTTCTCTTCAGAAATAAGTGTTTTTAATAGTGTACGTGCTTTTTAAAAATACTGTGGATGAAAACCCTGTGGATTTTTTTATTATTATTTTCTCATAAATAAGCTAAAGTAGATACATCGTAGGTTAACCATATTTGTGGAGATTTGCAACTGGAAGTCAGAGCCTGACATCACTCAGTTTTGCCAAAGAGAGAGCTAAACTGGAAGATGTGTTTGATATTTTCAGCTCTAAACAAGAAGGGATCCTTGCACAGAGAAAGAATAGCGTTCACATGTGGTGAGCAGTCCCTATAGAGAACTGCGGCCTCCAGCTGACCACAACTCTGAACGTGACCGTGCAGTAGAAGTAGCCGTTGTGCTTCTGTCTTCACCTCTGTCTATTCAAAAGATCACACATTGCTTTTGAGGGTTATTTTAGCATTTGAAGCAAATGGAAAACAGTGAAAAAAGTGAATTAAAATAGCATAGGTGAGTTTTTGATCTGTAATTCACCAAATGATGTAACAATTCAAGCAAAGACCATAGATTGCCAAAATATATTAAATATTTAGGTAGTTTATTAGTAGGAAGATGAAATTTTTTTCCTCTTATTAAGCCTACGCTTAATAAATTAGTAAACCAGTGACTCAAAAGCTTGAGACTTCTATCAATATTACACTCATTTTTTTTCTCTCCTAGCTGAGAACAACTCATTAGAAATTCCATTACAATTTAAATTTAAGCTAGTTTACAATAAGCATAAATATTGGCTTATGATACGGCCTGGTGTAGTAGTATATAATACTAGCCAAAATACAATTTGAGGCACATCTCCTGTAACAGTTGATTTGGACATGGAAGCTTATTTTTCATACAGAAGTAACATCAGTTTTAAAAATACAACTATAAAAATACCCGCATAATAATGACCTTCAGAGCACTAGTTTCTGTTTCATGCCCCCTGCGAGTTTAGACTTTGCTTTTTTTTTTTTTGGCTTTTTTCCCCCCATAGGTATTACTTTTACTGTGATCTCCAAACTATACGAATTGAAAGAGAATTGATCAAACACACCTTCCTATAGCATTTCCCTCACTATGTAAATAATACTGATTCTATAAACATTACAAAAAGGGATCCAAACAATTTGAGTATTTTTTTCCTCCCTAGGTATGTGCTTCAATGACAGTCTTTTTTTTCTTCTATGTAGAAAATGCCATATGACTATTGCACCACCTTTTGTATGGACTGTCGTGGTATTGGGTCCTCCGGTGTATCAAGAGTTAGGGTGTTCGTAGCTGCAAAGTTTAAATACGTGGCTTTATTCCTCTCCTGGGTGACTTAGAGCCCAAGGAGCACTATTGTTGCAGAAGGGAAAACGCGGACAGTCTCTGGTGTACACGCTCTGTGTATTAGTTGAAACCGGGGCCCTCTGAGGGCAGCCTGGCCTGTCTCTCTCTTGGGATTACTAGGACTTACCTGGCCCGGTGACTTGAGCAGCAGTCTTTTTTTTTTTTTTTTTTTTTTAAGGTTAAATCTGTAAACTATATACCTTTACTACTGAAAACTATAAAGCATCATACTGATTGGAAGTCAATAATAATAGTAGACTTAATCCACTAACTTTTTAAAAGAATATATCCACTATGGGTTTTCTTCTCGTTTCTTGAGGCACATTCCTTTCCAGCCTGTTTTTTTTTTTTCCAGCCCGTTTTTAAACCACCCTATTACCTTCTGCAAACGAGGGGTACCAGTGTTGCTTAACAGAAGATAATCGTTAATAAAAGAAGTCCTCTGTTTCAAAGGCTTTTGAAATCATTGGATCCCTTTTTGAAAATGAAGCTGAATTCAGCTGTGCCCAGTGGAACTATAGTATTGCTGTCGCATGAACAAATGATACAGAGCCAGTGGTGAGGTTCACCTGACTTCTTCAGTGGTCTTTTAGGGTTTGCTTTTATTTGCTCTTCTTTTGTACCATTTTTTTCAGACATAGTAAATTTATGATTTTACAGCCAGAGTGGTATTCTGTTTTTTCTAAGCTTTGAGAAAAAACATGGTTACTTAATCACAGTGAGGATCATTGTTCCCCACGTGAAGTCAACCTTTTTTAAATGATTTAATAAGTACTTTTTGGTTTTGCTCCCCTAAAAATGGCTTGTGACTAAAGTGACTTTTTTTTTTTTTTTCCCTTTCGAGGATTCTAATGAAAGATCTTGTGCATGCAAACTCTTCAGGGTATCAGAAGCAATTTCATTACGCCAGTATCTCAAGTGGTAGTGTGGGGAAATCTTGGTCAGTGCCTTAACCATTTGAAGACCAATTTTAGGGCATCGAATGTGACGATAACCCTCTGTCCTGTTGCTCCTCTGATGCCTGGAGCGTGTGCTGTCCCGTGTCACCAGCTCACTCCTTCCCACGGCAAGTGCAGCACGGCCTGCGCACGTGCCTCCAGGCCATCGCTGCCTCCTCCTTGGTCTGGGCAGCTCCCTCCCTGCTCCTCTCCTGCCGGGTAGGTGTAGGAGGCTAAAACCAAACCTGCCCAAATAAACCTTTTGATGAGCACTGTTAAGAACAGCTTCGAAGAGCATCCAGCCAGCCGAGCTTGGTTTTATTTTTTGTTATTGATGTTGTCGTTTTGAGCATAGATTTAATTATAAAGGCCTTTCAGAGAAATCACTGAAAGAATAAATTACAGCCAGAAAGCTTTGTGGAGATTTTATTAAAGCTACCGAAATCTTGTAATGAGAGTCTCTTTGACAAAAAACGAGATTTGGATTGGTTCATTCTTACATTTAAATAAGACTCAGAACAAACAGGCCGTCACTCAACTGACCAGTTCTTGTCTGCTTGAAAATATTATGGCAGGAAAGTGAAAATAACTCTTAATATATAAATTAAAGGGAAGCTAAGAGACTAAACTAGCTTTCTCAGTCAAAACATAACTTGGAAACATTTTGCTTCTGAGACTCTTTCAAGATCTAGAGCGTCTGTTGTTCAATTGAGTCAAGATGCTATTTTCACATTTTTTAAGGGCTAGTATGTTCCAGAATACAGAAATAGATATCATCTTTAAAGGGTTAACTGATCCTTAAGGGTTATTAGCAGGATTTAAATTTTGGTTCTAGTCACCTGGCCTGCAGGAATGGACAGAATGGAATGCATAGAAGTGCTTTGGGATCAGACTTTTAATAGACCAGCAGAGATTTTCATAAATATTACCTGTGCTTTAGATACTGGCTAAAGAATATTAAGCTTCCCCTAGAGATGCCACCTATTAGAAGTACTCATAGAGTCCAGGAATTATTGACTTATCAGGTCTGACACAGTAGCTGATCATAAGTCACCAGACCCTCAAGAATTTCTCCATCTTGATTGTTAACAAATGTATTGTTTTCTAGCCCGCTGAAGCGTGTATGTGTGGGGAGGACTGGGTAACTCGTTCACAGTGTCCTCTAAAGGGGATAAACATCTGTAGGGATAGGTACCCAGTAACGGTGGTAAACCGGGAAACACAAGCCATTTTTATTCCTTATCCCACTTAACCTGAGGTACTCCAGGGATGAAGCGCTCGGCTGCACTATGACCTCGTGAGTGATGTGCAGCTTGGTTCCTCTCTCATTTTTTGTTTCTGTTTAATATGCACATGTGAGTGTGAGATCTTCAGTGTGTTTGCATAAGCTGACTTAAAATGAATTTAAGTACAGTTTTCTGAAATATTTCTATTGAAATAAATTACTTAAAAATACAGATTGTGTGGGGATAATTTGTTGCCATATTTACATTTTTATCATTAACTTTTTTTAATCTTTTCATTATTTATTCATTTTGAAAGAGGGAGAGCACAAGCTGCGGAGGAGTAGAGAGAGGGAGAGAGAGAATCCTGAAGCAGGACTCGGTCCCACAAACCGTGAGGTTATCACCTGAGCCAAAATCAGGCACTTAACCAGCTGAGCCACCCAGGCTTCTGTACCATTAACTTCTAAAATGCATTGTATCGTTAAGTTTCAAATAAGTTCTCAAACGTGATATTTTTTTCTTTCTAAACTAATCGACAAGGTTTTTGTTGGGACAGGAAGCTTCTGTCTGGGTACACGTCAGTTGCTCTTCTCTGTGCTAGAACGCGGGTGCGCTCTGGCAGGTTGACAGATGGGGTCTGGAGGAATAGAGGTCGTGAATATACTATTTCCACCTTCATCTCCACGCTCCAAGCATAGGAGATGATAATGAACAACCCCAGAGAGGCCCTCTTCGCTAATACATACTGCATTTCATAGAGTCCTAAAACCCGGCATTATATTGTAGGAAGTGCAGAAGTAGCTGTATTGCATCTCCTAGGAGTCATTGGTCATGTGTTATCTAAGAAGTCCACGTGCAGATGTTCACTGTCCCTGTATTGGAATGAAAAGAGAGTGACAATTCTCTGATGGGGTCAACCCATCTGTACTTCACAC